TTTCATCATGACGACCTTTGAGCCATCTCTCAGCACGAACATGCGTGCCCCCTCGCACGATGCGCCATCCATGGCTGACCAGCTGCCCTCAATCAACTTTGGCTTTGACGACTTGCGCAGTCGCATGAACCAGTTCACAACCCGATTCGATGCATTTATCGAAAATGGCCGCCGGCGAGTGTTGGAAGAGCGCAATCAGTTCCGCATGAACGTGGCAGAACTACATGGTGCGCATGCCCAACTTCTACAACAAATTGTTGAGACGATTCCCAAGTGCTAACGACTACGCAGAGGACCAACGCATGAAGAAGCGCGACATTGAAATCCTCGAACTCAAAACTGCCCAACACAGCCAGACCCTCGCCAAGGAGTCCCAGGAAACCTCGGAGATGCAAGAAGCCATCTCCGCCCTTACCTTGCAGCGCGACGAGCGTCTCGCACACCGCGACAATCTCCGCGCCCAAATCGCCGAACTCCAAAAGACCATTTCCGCCCGCCGCGAGGCCCAGCTCAAGCACCGCCGATACCTTGATGGGCAGAGTCGCTACAACGAGCCCGAACTGGATTTCTGGGAGAGTTATCTGGGGCTCAGGATTGAAGGACTGGGCAAAGATGACAGACTCAAGTTTGTGTACACCAATGTAGATGAAAGAGAGTGGGATCGCGAGGCTTGGTTTGAACTCGATACCAGCGAGCGAGACTACAAGGTGCTAGAAGTCAGACCCAAAGTAGAGCGTGAAGAGACTGAAAGGGTAGTCGAGAGATTGAACGAGACTCGTGACCTGGCGGGCTTCCTAAAGGGGATGCGAGAATTGTTTGTAGAGGCTTGCAAATAGAGTGCTGCTTTACCATGGAACATGAAGATTACGACATTGGGTTACAGGCGGCGTTTGGACTTGTAGGGCTTACATGTCGGTCTTTTTGGTTCGGTTTTGATAATACCCCTTCAATTTACTTCTTCGGTTTTTTTGCTTTCAAAATACACACGTTCAACACAATCATCTCCCTCCATTCTTGACCTTGTAATACTCGGGCGCATACTCAGTCAGCCAATCCATGTCCACCTTGCTCAGGTCCCGGATGTAAATCTTATCCCGCGTAGACTGTATCTCAGTGTAGATGACCCAATCGGCCGTTCTTGTGAAGAACACAGATGAAGGGTGCGCCCAGAGCGTCGTTTTACCGTCGATAGTAGTAAAACTGCCATCTGCCTTCATTCTGGCTGCGTGCGCAAAGAAGCCTGAGGTAAGACAGCGTCTCACACGCTCAGCCATTGGTATGCCTCCTACCCTCAGCACGCCAGACGATGAGAGCACGTTCTCCTTGACGCCGAATCGGTCAAGATAAGCCGCGAGTTGTTTGCGCACACTGACTGCCTTTACAAGTGCCTTGTGATTAAGGTTATTGGAGTGGCACCATGCTGTATTGCCCATGCCTTCTTTCACAAAAGCCTCATACACATTGTATAGCGTGAGATGGTCACCTTCCTCAACCGCGAAGCGTCGTCTCGCTGCATCGAGCTGTTTCTTGCCTCCATCGTGCGATACGAATGTGTTTCCTTGGAGTGTCATCATAGCTGCTATTGTGAGCATTTCGCTTAGACATCCAAATTCCGGCTCTGCGGCTTTCAGAAGAGCGCGCGCAAGCATCGGCTCGAGGGGTAGCTCGGCCATCCGCGTTCCGAGAGGTTTTGTCAGACGGGCATGGGTATCGAGGGCGCCGAGGGAATAGAGGAGATCTAGAGCACGGGTAATGAGTGCCGAGGGTGGTGGAGAGAGATAGTCAAACCGAACTACGTTCGTTATACCCAGGTTAAGAAGTTGAAGAATAACTGGTGCGAGATTTGAACGGGCGAGCTCAGGGAATGTGGCCTCCTCCAATCCCTCATACACAGATTCTGTATACAACCTAAAGCATTTGCCCGGTCTGGTTCGTCCGGCACGTCCAGCCCTTTGTGTTGCGCTAGCTTTTGATACAGGAACGACGGCGAGGTTCTCGATTCCTAGGTTCGCGTTGTATGCGCGGAGCTTGACATAGCCTGTATCTACTACGAATACAATGCCATCAATAGTCAATGAAGCTTCCGCAATGTTGGTACTAAAGATTACTCTTCGCGTATCCGGCGGCGGCTTGGTGAAGATGAGGTTTTGATCTTCTGCAGGAAGACCGGCATAGAGAGGTAGAGGCATGAGTTTTGGCTGAGATGAGGTCATTTCGGCAATATGATCTCCGATTTTATCAATTGCATCATCTATCTCCTCTCTTCCAGTAAGAAAAACGAGAATGTCGCCCTCATTTTCGTGCTTGTGAATCTTTACGACCGTGTCCACGGCTGCTTCAACGTAATTGTTCGTTGGTTCTTGTAGATATTGGATTTCGACCGGGTAGGTACGTCCCTCAATGCCAACAATGTAACCAAACTCTTCCTTGCTCTTTCCATGGATTTTTTCCCCTTCGTCCGGGTTGAAGAAGTCAAGGAACCGCTCAGCCTCCAATGTTGCACTACTCACAACCACTCGTAGGTCGTCCCTTTTTCTCAGGACTTTCTTCAACAAACTCAGTAGAATATCTGAAGACAAGCTACGTTCGTGTGCTTCGTCTACCATGATAACAGAGTAGCGTGAAAGCAGAGGGTCGACGAGCATTTCGCGCAGTAGGAGACCATCTGTGACGAACTTGATCTGCGTGGCTGCTGACGTGACATCTTCAAACCGAATGCTATATCCGACTCTCTGGCCAAGTGGAGTTCCCAACTCTTCTGCTACCCTTGCTGCGACGCTGGTACATGCTATGCGCCGAGGCTGTGTGATAGCTATCTGCTGACCGCTGTTGCACCAACCTGCTTCAAGCAAGAATTTTGGTATTTGTGTTGTTTTGCCTAGACATCTGTCAATAATATGGCCCGAAAATCTTCCAGATTTGACATACCGCTTCCTGTTTCACCTACAACGATAGTCACGGGATATGTTTCCACAGTATAGAGCAGCTGATCTCTAAGCTGCGCAATTGGCAACAGGGCAGGTGGTTTATAAAGGCTGGGTATCAAGGTGGTCTCAACATCTTCTTCATCGGCCATGGTGTACTGACGTGACGTCAAAATCCTGGAAAGACAATTGGTGTTCAGAGGGACGAGGACATCTGAATGGCTAATGGTGAACAGAGCAAAGCACTCTAGCGGGTAGACTAGTCATGCTAAGTACTAGCGTATTCCGCTTTGGGACTATAAGTCCACCTTTAAGACCGTCCTCCACCCACTATATTGTGTGTAGTGCTTTCGTCTATGCTAAACGTTAAGTCATGTCTAATTGCAAGATCAGCTGAGCGAAAATAAGATCGCGCATGTCTAACCGGACCGCAATGGAGCCTTTCACCTTTCACAATTGAGGACATCTCCAACATTTCTACGCTAGGTTTTGGGTGTCGCATACAGCATTTCTTCAATCAAAAGCCTATAATTTGAGTGCTAAATAAGTTCCCATAGATCTCTGTTATAAATAAACTCATAAGATAGCTATAGCGCTTTCTGAAGCGCTTTAAACTCAGGTGCTCTTAACAGAGAACCTTCTTTCTACCTTCGTTCTTCTTTTGTGTTGCTAGTATTCCCAATAGCAAAAACTTCCAAAATTCACGGGTTTTCACTCTCTTCTATCATACCGATTTCGGTATGCCAATTTGACTGTGAAAGATCCAATTGGTGTCTTGAATATTTGGAATATATGAAGATGCTTCCATGAGACAACAACTCTGCTTCTTCAGCATGGAGTACTGGGTTCCCCGGCGTAGAGATGTATCTGGGTGATGTGAGCATATTTGGAATACTAAGTCGAAGACATCGTATGAAGAAGCCAATACTAAAGGGCCATGTTAGTGAAACGAGTCGGACCTCATTATTGTGAAGTTCATTTGCAGAGGCGACCAGATGCGAGTTTTCAAGTTTAGTACAACCCATATTAGGTATTCATTACGTAGTTTGGCTCGTAGTGATTTCATGTTCTTACATATTCCACACATGTAGAAGCATAGCCGGATGCTCGTCACCCTCTTTCGCAAAAGTATCTCGTTACGCTTTATGTTTTTGCAAATGTCCACCAACGCGAATCATCCTCCTAGTACGCGCTTCGTATATCACCGATGTCGCCTAAACTTTTCAGGAATATTCTTTTCCACAACACCCCTAAGCTCCAGCCTCTCCCACTCCTCCTGTCTAGCCTCCTTCTCCTCGTGCATCTTGAAGTGCGCAATGTCCTCGGGGTGATTCAGGTCCTCCTCTTTGACATCGTCTCCGCTGTGGTACTTCTCCCAATGGTGAATTTCATATTCGTATTCATCATCGCCGTGGTGTCCTGGGCCCAGACCAAAGTCCGGTAGCTTGATGCCTTCGGCGTCCTTTTTGGCGAATTCTTCCAGAGTGATTACACCGTCTTTGTTTATATCAAACATATCGAGAATAGTTTGAACGACCAATTGCTTTTTAGCGTCAGATATTGAGGCGCTAGACGGGTCTTCGAGGCCGTAGGTGCGTCGAATGTCCATGGCTGCCCAGAGACCAGTGTTGTCATAGTCGTGCAGGCGGAAGAAGAATTCGGCGTCGAAACCCGCTATATGATGCTCCTCTGGTCTATTGTTAGTCGATATAATCCTGATTATGTGTTTCATCAGACAAAGGTCGTAAGGAACCCATACCAGCCATGTGTCGAGTCGCCCAATCAGCGTCCGGGGGTACTTCGACTTGCGCATGCTCCTTGCTACCGTGCGCCGAGGCATTGAAGGCGCACGACAGCAGCAAAATCATACTCAACGGTGCTTTTAGTATGCGGCTCATCTTTTCTTTTCAATCTGAGAGGCTTGAGAAGGTAGAAGGAGAGAGCTGGGGGGCGCGTTGAACACAGGGGGATCGGTTAGATCAATGGCCAATCGCCGACACTATGTCATAAGGGTCTCGAACACCCGCACCACATAGGCTTGATCTCCGATGGTACCGACAACACCATCAATCCACAATGAACGTACTAGTCCTTCTGAGTCTGTTATTCTTCATTCCTTTCCTCTTCTTCCTCGCCTTTCTTGCCGCATCTTCCTGCATAGGCGAGGGCTTTCGTGCTAGATTCGCTGGCGTCACATTCAACCCTCGGAACGCGTCCTTCGGTCGCAACTACACACGAGGATTCGGGTCTGGGGCCGGTACTGGAGGATGGGAGCAAATCGAAATGGAAGACATGCTGGGAGATGACAGCGACTCAGAATGAAGGAAAGAGTGTTTGAATTGATGAAGTTTGCGCCATGCTCACCATCTCGGTGCTTTGCAGGGTATCTTACACATCAGACGAATTACATATTCTAGAACTCCAAGTCTTGCTTCTTCGGCATCGCACTGCCACCAGCTGCTTCCCTCACAGCTTCCTCCTGCGCTTCAGTGTCGCCCTCCATCGGCGGCAAGCTGAATTTTGCAACAACAAACTTCCGTCGGCTCAACGTGAATGCCATGTCCTCGCCCAAATCCTCCACACTTCCGCCACCACCTTTCTCATGGAATACAGGCAGCTTGTGTACTGCAAACATTCCTTGTGGACGTTCCTCATCCTTGGTAGTACCTGCCGATTGAGCGAGCGCTTGCATCCTCGAGTAGGGAAATGGCGACAGCTCAAAGACACCATCTGAGAGGATTTCCATCCAGCGGACGAGGCCGGAGGACCGGGGGTACAGAGTCAACGGAAGAGTTATCATTGCGGTTAGGCGCGTAGAATACTCCCGCAGTAGCGCCCGTAAAGCATGGAGGAACTGGAGTATGGAGGTTGGATGTGCAGTTGATGAAGGATAAAGTGCCGGCGAGAGAAGAGACGGTATCAAAATCCGGTGGATTGTATGGGGCGGAGTCGAGCCGAGCTGTCGCCTGATGTTTTGCAATATTGCAGGAAATGGGGATACGATGGCACCCGTTGGTGAAGGTATGGGCACATAATTAATGGCCGTTCCTACAGGGAGGGTGAGGCGTTTTGCAAGGTCGAAGGTATGACAGAATACAGCTTGTTCTTCTGTCGTACTATCACCTTGCACTGCCGCCCTCTGTACACCCGGAGATCCTGTCACACAACCCGTCAGAGGTGTTCAAGAAGCAACATAAGATTCAGACTAAATGTACAAGACGCACCTCTAGCAGTCTCGAACTGTCCCAGTCCCTCGTATCTCCACGCTATCTTCATCTTTTCTGCTCTTTCCTTACCCTCTTTCCTCTTGTCTGATGTGCCATCTGATATGCCGGGTAACTCTCTCCCCCACACCTCACCCATGCCAACCACATGCACCTTGTGGCCCTGGACTACCCCCTCGGCCGCATAAAACCGCAGCAATGCACCTGCATAGTCTGTTGTTCCGCTTTCCCCTATCAATATAGAATGCCCTAGTGCTAGGCCGGCATGCCCTGCCAATATACCATCAAGCGAGGGTGTACCAGTTGAAGTAGTGGGGCGGCCGTCAATGGGTGAAGGACGGACGCCTGGTGGTGTTGGCGTTGGCGGGGTTACAGAAGGAGCAGATGGTGAATCTGGCGCGTCTTCCCCAGCTGGTGCGCGTGAAAGCGCTACATTGCGCTTGCGGAAAGCCATCTTGGTGATTTTGAAGGGTGAGTCGCGACATGTAGGAAAATGTGGAGGGACTATCGATAAGCCTAGCGCCAGACGTCATCTGCACCTCTCATCCTTGCCTGTAGAAGACCCGAGCATATTGGACATTTACATACAAGGGCTGATGATGTGTTGTGAGTGACATAAACCAAGATGACCACAAAATAACTCTAGTAGCTTATTGTGCACCACTTGACCATGTATTAGAATATGACATAGGTATGTGTGAACGAAAGGGGATATATATATATACCTAAGCGTGCTGTGAGATAAATATGGAATTCGGTCTTACAGATAGCTTTTGCAACAAAATAAGAAGCAAAAAAGGAAGAGCACACATGGCAAGAGAAGAGACTCGAATGCACGGGTGATGGAACATGTGCAAAAAGGAAAGGTGCCTCTTCAGAAGAGATGAGACTTTAAATCCCATGATTTGTGTTATTGTAGCTACTTTCCTGACAAATTACACTTTTTCATGGTACATATAGTAAATCTAATCATGGATAAAAGAGTATCTGGCGGACTGGGGGCTGATATGCGTGGTTGTGGCGTAGGATGTTGGAAGCCTAATGGCTGACTCACAAAGGGCGCTTAAACCCATGAGAAGTCAAGAGCCAAGAGCCCATATAAGTTGTTTGCCAATGTTCCTGCCCTCAAAGACTGTTTTCACATGTTAAACCACTCATACTCAAAGTACCACACCACAAGGCCAACCTCGTGTATCAGTGATGCTCTAAAATCAGGAAGCGGAATAAGTTACAGTTCTCATCATCATTTGGTATAATTATTGTCCCCCAGATCTCTCCTGCAACATCCCATAACACGTCTATTTCTTTTTGCCTGAAGCCTCCGTTGCGCTTAGCTCTCGGATGAATACCTTGGTAACACCGTCTGGTACATCATCTATGCCATCCTCAAATCCTGGGCTTACTCCAATGGCCACATATTTGCCGTCGTTTGAGAAATCAATAGTCTGAACGCTGGCAGGGAATTTTTGGTACTGTCGTATCCTCCTCTTTGCCACGGCATCCCAAAGCGCCACTATGCCGTCACCCCCTCCTGTAGCAAAGGTACCGTGGACTGGGTGGTATGCTAACGCATGGACTGGATACACTATGTCCTGGCCATCTACTTGTTGCCTGTGGCACTTGAATGCGTATTTTCGCGACTGCGACTCTTCGGAAGGGTCAAACCATTCGACCGCAACACGTCCCTCGATGCTCGAGCTCGAATAGCCAGCGTCGTTTGGCATGCATGAAACAGCGCGCGTCATGTACTTCATCGAGCTTTCCCTCTGCTGCCATGGCTCTACGCTCACCTCCTCTTCACCCGTCTTGGCTGCAGCTGCTAGCTTCTCTAATTCGTAGATGTTGACCGCTCTGCTGGCCATGGCAACTACCAATTTGGTGGGTGACGCGGAAAGCGAGAAAGGCTTCGAGGGCAGGCGGACAGCGGAGAACTCGCCTGGTTGCGATAAGTCGTGCAGATGTAGTGTCGAATCCCAGGATGAAGAAATCAATAGGTTATGCGCGGCAGAGAAGAGTACGTTGCGAACGCCTTGCGAGTGCGTAGACATGATGGTTTGCGCGCCCGTCTCAAGGTCGATTCTCCGCACTTCCCAGTCCAAGCCGCAAGAGAAGGCCTCATTGTCATCGCGACCAAAGCAGACGTCTAATACTGGCGCACGGTGTTCGAACTTCTGCAGCAGCTTTCCGCCGGGCTCAGCGTGGGTGTCGTAGAGGTAAACATGGCGGTCCCAGGATGAAACCAGTAATCGTGTCGGGTTGTTGGTCGCGAATTTGACGGAGGATATAGGTTCAGTTGGATTCTGCGCAAGCTCGAATTGACCTGTGTATCCATGTTAGCATGTGTACAATATCCAGCATATAGTCGAGGGAACACTACTACGGTGCGACAGTTTGCGGTGCTCGCATTCATTGGGTGTAATGGAGACGGTGCGCGTTAAAAACCGACGCTGTAGAAGTGGCTTCAACACTATGGAAACGTAGACCACTTACTCGACATGTTGGCGGTGTTGGCTGCTGGGGAGTGTGGAGAGGTGGGAGCTGGAGTGAAGCTCCGCAAGGTCGGAGGTCCGCAACTAAACAAATAACTTGGGATGCACGCTAGCAAGGCCCCTCCAAAAGTTCCCCGGCGCCTTGTCCTTCTCACCTCACCTTAGCAAGCGACGTCACTTTCGCAATCACAAAGATGCCGTTCGCACAACTGGTAATAGGCCCGCCAGGCTCCGGAAAGTCGACCTACTGTGATGGCATGCAACAGTTCATGGGCGCTATTGAACGCAAATGCTCAGTCGTCAACCTTGACCCCGCGAATGACCACACCTCGTACCAGCCAGCTGTCGACGTCCGAGACCTGGTTACCATTGACGAGATCATGGAGCAAGAGGCTCTGGGTCCGAATGGCGGCGTTTTATTTGCCCTGGAGGAGCTGGAGCATAACTTCGACTGGCTAGAAGAAGGCTTGAAGGAACTCGGAGGTCCGCATACATGCAATCAGACTTGGTGGAAATATACTTACACAATGCAGATGACTACGTCTTGTTCGATTGTCCAGGACAGGTTGAACTGTTCACACATCACGGATCTCTGCGGAACATCTTCTTCCGGCTACAAAAACTTGGGTATCGAGTATTCGCCCACCGCCCGTGGCTCGCAACCGAGCGCTAACCTCTCGCAGCTCGTCGTCGTACACTTGACGGATTCGATAGTCCTTTCACGACCGTCGCTATATGTCTCGTCTTTACTCCTCGCGTTGCGCAGCATGCTGCAGATGGACCTTCCTCACCTGAACGTTCTGACCAAGATCGACAACTTGCGCAACTATCCCAACCTACCCTTCAACCTTGATTTCTATACCGAAGTCCAAGACCTACAATACCTATTACCACACCTAAACCGCGAGCAGACGTCCGGCATACCAGGTCCTACAACAGCTGGTGCAAATGAAACCATGGACATGGACGATGACGAACCGACGTCAAAGTTCTCTGCACTCAACAAGGCGATTGTAGAACTCGTTGAGGAATTTGCGCTTGTGGGCTTTGAGACACTGGCAGTCGAGGACAAGAAGAGTATGATGACACTCCTACGGGCCATTGATCGAGCGGGAGGTTTCGCAATGGGCGGTATCGAGGGCGCGAATGACACTGTTTGGCAGATGGCTATGCGTGAGAACGGGGCAACCATAGACGCTCGCGACGTGCAAGAGAGGTGGCTGGACAGGCGAGACGAGTTGGACGAGGAGGAGAGGAAAGCATGGGAGGAAGAGACCAAAGAGATGCGAGACCCTCCACCCCAACATGCCCCACAAGCGCCGCCAAAATCGAAGCCGTCGAATGAACACGAAGGTGCAGATAGCGATGACGATATGGACGATATGGAGGAGATGCGGCAGTTCATGGAGAAGAACAAGGGCAGTGGCATCAACATTGTCAGAAAGTGATGAACATGACACCTTGTCCGGGGTTGCAAATTGAGAAGTGCTATGGTCTACTCATGCGGACTTAGCACGCTTGTGTAGTTTATAGCAGGCTCTATATCTATGTCTTCTCCGGGACCTTTGTACAACTTTAATGGCTTAAGTGTAGCATAGACTTCTTCTAAACTGCTCGTGCAAATGCGATTTCAACTTAGGGGAGGATAAGACTTTGGGTATCAGAGAACAGTGGGGCTGGCTATGGAATCGGCGTTTGTAATACATTTGATAACATATAAAGCTATGCACAAATGGTCTGCTGCAGATATGACTGAACAGGTCTAGACGTACGATACGTGACAGTATAGCATGTCGCTACTCGAAGGGCAACACCAATAACTCGCAGCAAGCTGTACTTGGACATTGAGGCTCTTTTCGTATCTCCAAGACATAGCTCGATCACCAGCTCTTCTCTGGTCCAAGACCAATTGTTTCAGCCATGTAGATTGCCATAGGCGGGCATGATTAGCGGGGTACATGGCCTTGGAACAACGCGTCGCATCGGTGAGCGGCTGCACGCGCCCCCGCACTCCTTACAGTACACATCGGCCTAGTATGTATGGTTTATGTACCGATGTAGCACACGAATAATCATCTCTTACGCTAGACCGTATTGGATATTGTCGTCATCTTGGATAGGCACTCTGCTAGGTACCGTGGATTCCCGACGCGCACATGCTTAAACGCAAGGCCTCTGGCGACCTCTCCGGCCCCCACGTCTCCATCTTTAGCAACGACCCCACGCTTGGACGTCACAAGCGGAAGCGTACCCTCTTTCGCCCCAAGCACACCAAACCGCAGTGGACGCCCAAAGCAGAGCGCGACATGAGTGAGCTGCTTGAATTCATACTGCAGCACGAAGAAGCCTTCAAGAAGTAAGTCCAGCTTCGACTGGCGCTCGCCCTGCATTGCCTGATTGTTCCAGCCAGCATCGCCTCGCATCGTTGTATGCCGACTTCCGCCAACAACTCGATATCAACCCTGAAGGCTACCATGCGAATATCGCAGCATGGACTAAGGCGCTCACTGATGCTGCGCGAGCGGGTGTCATTCCCACCCAGGGTACCACACACGATCTCCTGAACATTCGGGCAGCCGACGAGCTTGCGCGAGCGCTCCAACATCCACAATATGGGAAGCCGACATGCTTACCCGCCGTATTCCATGAGGCCGTTCAGAAAAAGGAGATGATCCCTCTCAAAGACTTTCTCAGTTCCAAGGAGAGTATATACAAGACGTCGTGGATTCCATCGCCCTGGAGGGTGTTACAATGGAGCTTGCGACAAGTCGGGGTACTTGGCGAACCGCAAGCACCAGCCAGGATGGAGGTTGGAAACTTTGTCATTCTGAAGAATGTCGAGGTCGCTGCGGATGAGATAATCAGCAAAATGAAGGACTATACATCGACAGCCGACCGCGTCCTATCAAGGACCGACTTTCTCAAGCGCTTCTCGACCGTGCTCAATCCCTCTGCATCTCTCACGACAAACGATCTCAACATCGTACTTGCCTTTCTAGCTCGCGATAAGCAGGCAATATCATATAACGCGCAGACGATCAAGTTCAAGCCGGAACACGAGCATGTGCCCCTGCCCATCACAGAGGAGGATGCCGCTATCGCCAATCTTCGCGACACGGTAGCAAAGATCAACGCGCAGATCCCGCCATTGATGGAGAAAATCGCTGCTGCGGATGCTGCAGCTCGTGAGGCCGTAGCCTTGAAGCAGATGGTTCGTGCCAAGGCAGCACTCCGCTCCAAGAAGCTTGCCGAGAGTGCCCTCGCTCAACGCTCAGATGTTGCTCTCCAACTTGAGCAAGTGTACAACGACCTTCAGCAAGCTGCAGACCAAGTCGAGATAGTGGAAGCTATGCGTGCTGGTGCAGCGGCACTCAAGGGCTTGAACGAAAAGGTTGGCGGCGCCGAGGGTGTTCAAGGAGTAGTAGATGCTGTCAATGAGCAGATGGCTACTACGGAAGAAATCACCAACATCCTTAGCGAGACTGGTCAGCCTCTTGATGAGGGTGAGATTGACGACGAGTTTGAAGCCCTCGAAAGGGCGGATCGCGAGAAACGTGAGAAGGAGGAAGCAGAAAAGACGGCTGCAAGGCTTGCAGAGCTAGGAGAGGCTGAGAGGAGACGCACAGAGAGGATGGATCGCATTGCAGCTAAGAGCGAAGATGAAAGGACGGAAGAGCGGGTCAATGAAGCTTCCCAACGTATGGCAAACATGTCGTTCCAGCAGCCAAACGACGAAACGGAGGATTCAGAGGAACGTCGTATCCCTGCACACGCATGATTCGTTATTTAAATCTATGGGGCGTTCTCTTGGGGGCATGGCACCGGCGTTGATGGACTATCAGCTCCTACCAGACCTAACATACATATACAGAGGCCTGGTCCTCTTGCATTTGAAGAACACTTGATGCATCGTAATCATATTTGTCCACAGCTTTAGGTTAGTTGCTAATCTTGAAATTCGGAATGCATATCCTTTAACTGCATGTAGATAGCCGTTGTGTGAGTCAAGACGGCGCAATGTGTATGTAGATGCATCGGGCGGTCTGACGTCTCGGGTAGGGGCTAGCTTTCCGTCGCCAAGCCAAGCTCTCGCAACCAACGCCGAACCTCAGACCTGACGACGCACCGCCAACGCCCCTTCAGCTTCACGACCACCTCATCCCACGCTGGGATACCTTTCGTCACAATTGACTCGCCCTTTCAAGCTGGTTGTATAACATCAAAAAAAACAATCATGAACTCGATCCGCGCCGCAACCAGCGGCTCCCGCGCCATCGCCTCTACCCTTTCCGTCACCCCACGCACCGCCACCCGTGCCTTCTCGCGATCACAAGCAAAGCAGTCCGGCCATGGACCTAGCTACGACCCTCCATCAGGATGGCTGTTCGGTGTTAAGCCCGGCGAGGCGTATGAGAAGGAGGGGTGGGAAAATGCCATGTACTGGGGTTTCGGAGGCGCGTGTGCGTTTGGAGTAGTCGCTTATGCTTTCAAGCCTGATACCAGGTATGTCTAATCTCACAATTGTGGGTTGGCGGGTAGCACAGAGCAGTGGGAAGATGAGTGGAAACGACGAGTCATAGGAGCCATGGAAAACACCAAGGGGAAACGGAAGCGAGAGAAAAATAGCACAAACTTGAGCAGCAGCTGACAGTAGTATAGCATCCAAACCTGGGCCCTAGAGGAGGCACGACGAAGACTTGAAGCCGAGGGTATCCTCTCAGACCCGGATACCATCAAGAAGGAATAGAGAGCACCAAATGCCAGCGGGCGAATAGCGGATGAACTACGTGTGGAACACACCGATAGAGAGGCGAGATTCTACAGTAGCACGAACCAAACTGTACATACGCCAGCGAGGACGAAGAGGGGCTTTTCTTTTGTGAGTATGGATCTGGCTGGTCCAAGGACTCTATAGACTTTGCGAAGGGTACCTGTTATCGCCCATGGGTGAGCAATTATATTTGTTTTTATCAGCCACATTGTATGGCTACGTCAGGTGATGTTGTTGAAGAGAAATGCAAACCACTGGATTTCCTAGGATGTAGATGCGATATGGAAACAGATAACGTCACGCCAAGGAAAGAGATCTAATACTGAATCGAATTCTTCACGTGGTAGACCGTTGTTCGTTTAGTTCCTAAAGGGTATGTGTTCTTCGCCCGATATAGACTGTTCAGCAGCGTTGGGATAGACTCTGTGGTGCTCAACTGCTTGCCATATCGAAATAGCCACAGTAATACTGAGAACATAATGACTTGCGTTAGCTTGTCTGTATCTTTGAGCCTCGGATATGAACAGCTTTTTTGAAACTAGGAAGGGGGGTTACGGCTAGCAAGCTTGTTCCAATACAGCTACCACCTAACCCATTGCGCATTTCCAGACGGCCAAGGGAGCAGAAATTCAGGCATCCTAGCCCAGATGGGCCCTTTTGGCCCCCAACTTGAAAATCCTTCCATAGGATCATCAGGCCCGCACAATGCAAACAAGAAGGCATTTGGGCGGGTAGCTTCGTTGTTTTGGTGCTCGCCTCAATCGCTCTCCTTTTTGAGGCCGCGGAGCCTGCCATCACGTCCTCGCACGACAATGCTGTCCACTGTGCAACAGACACTAGCCGTTCTTTCTTTCTTGGTGATTGGCGCAAGCTGCCAGGTAACTACGACATGGAACTCAAGGTTCATTGGTTATTATATCGCTCCTGATTCTAGTATGTTTCGTTCGCGTCTTCATGTTGGATACACATAACTCAACCTGTTCCAGTCGAGCCACTGTTGGCAGGTGATGCTTGGGTCACCTCTGGGACATATGCAGGCGACTGTAATACCAGCGGTCGTTGTGCATTAGCGACAAAATGTTCAGATAACCAGTTATACCTCGATGACGGTTCGGTGTGGCCCTGGTGAGCACTACTATGGCTTTCGATATGCTGACTCGTACTAACACATACCAGCAGCGGAGAAGTGTCATGCGTTCAGGCTACGATCTATGCGACCTCTCCAGCTGGACTCCCATCTGCGGTTAATTACGGCTGTCGTATGAACTGGAAAGCTTACACCATCTACCGGGAATTGCCAGCGACAACAACATCATTGAGCGCTCTTACATCCGCAACACCAACCCCACCTATGAGCGTGACCCCAGCAGAAGTCGTGTCAACATCGACCGTAGTAGTATCAGCATCATTATCAATCGGCGTATCTACCAGTAGGCTGGATGTGGTAGAAGCTACTTCTAACCCCGAATCTGAACTTCGATCTGGACCTGAACCTGAACGACAAAACAAGGCATGGATAGCAGGCGCCGTTATTGGGCCGGTTGTTGGAATTTCACTCCTGGTCGTAGCGACTTACTTTTGGAGAAGCAGAGGAAGAGCTAGACAGACTAACAAAGGTATTGTCGAACTGAACGGAGAGAGCACTAGTTACTCGCACTTGCAGCAGTATCATGAGAAAGACACTGAAGGACAACTAGTCGAACTGTCAAGCACACGGAATCCCGTTGAACTTTCAAGCTCACAACACCCTGTTGAGTTGGAAGCCAACGGACCTCGATAATCATACTGTTGTTAAGCTGTGGCCTTCGAGGTTAGAACCGGTAGTGGTTGGTGAATGGAAGAATCCATCATTGTTTTTGAGCAGAAGGACGACTTGTCGTCCTGCAGTTACAGCCCAATGACAGGGCTTCTACACGATCTTGACCGCGTCCCACTCTCGTAGAGGCAGCTTCGCTACTGTTGAGCGAGTTATCGGGAAGAAGGGTGTAGTGAGACCTGCTACGTAGGGAAAGGATCATGTCTCCGCTCCCAAAAAGTATCAAGGAGACGCGAAGAACATCACGACAGAAGAAATTCATTACGAGAAACAGGCACGAAGTGGGGCGCTAGTGGAATTCCTGTCACAGGAATATCGCCAAATTTCAACAATAGAAACCAGGCCTGTCCTTTAGGCGGGTAGAATCTAGTCTTCTTCCTGAGTACCTGTCTTATCTCGCAATCTTATTCATGCCTACCACCTTCCTACATGTGGGCTCATTTCACTTTCTATTTCACCCTTTTTGGCAAAAGCGCTGCAATCTCTTCTCAGATGAACTTGTGCGCCACTGTCCGACTGACAGTACCTGGCAAGGAAACCAAGAGATAAGGTATTCTGCTGTTGTTGTATCAGATATTATAATCTCCAAAGTATATGGCATATAATCGGTGACTGCTTGATATCTCGACCAGAAAGACTTTTGAGTGCACTATCTAATCGAGCAGCTCATCAACCTATTTGTTGGTCGTGTACTAATGATTGCGGCTCAGCGGTTTACACCCGGCTGCAATATTTCGCACATGAGAAACCTTATGCGCTGGCCCAGGAACAATTGCCGCCCGCCGGGAATCACGTTGCTGTACACTGCTGATCGTCAAAGTGCAGGCATACAACTGGTCTTGAGTGGTTGGAACTTAGATTGGCCCGTTGTTGATTGATTAGGCTGAACTGAACACCGGGTCCACAGGGTAAGGTTTTAACTTTCAACTGTCCGCAACCTCGTCGTATAACACGGCAAATATTGAGGGGCTTCAAATCTGGACTAACCGCATGAACTGTTTCCGGATCGGTACCTCGCCAGTTCATACGTCAAAAGCCGACGAAGCGGACAAATTCGAAGCGAACCCCCGGTCTTGGCGAGCCAACACCCCTGGACATCAATCTATCCAGCACAGAAGACTAACCGAGGGTTCGGGTCGATGCCTTCTTGCGAAGACTCGGACCACTCGTACGAAGCTTTGAACAGGGCACAACCAATTTTTTAGAGGAGTCTCGTCCCGTTTATCCCGGAACATTTCGACTTGGCTACACACTCCTCCTAACGTGTTCCTGAAACCCATAGTCAAAGGTCAGTTGACCTAGTTCTCTCAGTATCCACCTTGGCTCTGCTGCCAGGTGGTGTTCTTTGATGTAGGTATGTCGGAAGATTCACTGAACATACATGCGTATCGATAAATTCCTTGGACAAGGTTGTCAAGTTAGCTCTGGGTTCCATGCAGAGAATCTTCGTTGCATCCAAACACCAATCTTTCGCCATCGTACCATGCTTACGCCACTACAAGCGAAGCGAGCCACAGAAGAAACCTTGCTGTCTTGGTCAATACCGATACCCGTATAGTCTGGGAAGCCTCATGACCTTGACAGTACTGTACCGTAGATTAACCTCCCAAATCGGGCCGACCACCTCTTTTCTAGAAGACATGCTCATATGTGCTCACATGTTGTTGGCCATGTAATATATCTTAACCAGGTTTCAAGGCCACTAAACCGGATACCGGGCGCTACAGCAGTGGTGAAGAGATCTTTTACATGAGAGATCTTACACTGTGATTGACATTCAGAAAACCACATGCAGTTGTGACAATATACAAGCACGCTCCGTCTTTATCCATAAAACAACGCGTGACACAGCGGCAATGTATATAGGCGAAGACAATGATGGAGCTGCCAACGCCGATCCACACCTTCGCCCCCCATGCATATGAGGCTAGCTGTTCGTCGTCGAATAGCATCCAAGGCTAAGAAATTATATTGCCAATGATATTAGCTGGCCATAGTACATAGTGCTCTGAAGCTTCGTATTATTCCCCACCCATCCACTATCTCCTTAAGGCAAGGCACTGGTTTCTGTGGCGTAGAGATCTCCACAGTACCCCGGAATACCCCACGGGCAGGAAGTAGCCAAGGATGCTTCATCTACTCTTCATTAGTTTGGCACTTCTAGCAACGTTCTACACTCCCGACGTCCCGCTTTACTTGTGGTATTGGTGAGAATGCTCTGCAGGAGGGCCTTGGTATGCAGATCTCCTGCAGCGTGCAACGCCCAAGGGGGTCACGTAGGTACTTTTTCCAAAGTACCACCGATAGTACTCAAGAGTAGCAGAGGTGTTTTTCTGATATAAAAGGGGGAGTCCCCAACAGGTAGAATGGTTCGATATCCAACAGCAGACTCTCTATTCAAGCCAGTCAAAATGTACAGGACACTCGCCTTCGCCTCTCTCTCGCTCTATGGAGCCGCCCGCGCTCAGCAGGTTGGCACCAGCACTACTGAGACCCACCCCAAGCTGACCTGGCAAACCTGCACGGGTACCGGTGGCACCAACTGCTCCAACAAGTCTGGTTCCATTGTGCTCGACTCCAACTGGCGATGGGCCCACAACGTTGGCGGATACACCAACTGCTACACTGGCAACACCTGGAGCACCCAGTACTGCGCTGACGGTGACTCTTGCACCAAGAACTGCGCCATCGATGGTGCTGACTACTCTGGTAAGTTTGTTCGACTGAATCTTTTTTTTAAAAAAAAAATCGGGGAAACTTGTTCTAACCTATCCAGGCACTTATGGTATCACCACCAGCAACAACGCTCTCAGCCTCAAGTTCGTCACCAAGGGCTCTTACTCCAGCAACATTGGTTCGCGTACCTACCTTATGGAGTCGGACACCAAGTACCAGATGTTCAACCTCATCAACAAGGAATTCACCTTTGACGTCGATGTCTCCAAGCTTCCTTGCGGTCTGAACGGTGCTCTCTACTTCGTCGAGATGGCTGCCGACGGTGGCATCGGCAAGGGCAACAACAAGGCTGGTGCCAAATACGGAACTGGATACTGCGACTCGCAGTGCCCCCACGACATCAAGTTCATCAACGGCAAGGCCAATGTCGAGGGCTGGAACCCCTCTGACGCCGACCCCAACGGTGGCGCCGGCAAGATTGGTGCATGCTGCCCTGAAATGGACATCTGGGAGGCCAACTCCATCTCGACTGCCTACACACCTCACCCTTGCAAGGGCACGGGTCTCCAGGAGTGCTCCGACGCCGTGAGCTGCGGTGACGGCGACAACCGCTACAGCGGCCAGTGCGACAAGGACGGATGCGACTTCAACAGCTACCGCATGGGCGTCAAGGACTTCTACGGCCCGGGCGCCACGCTCGACACCACCAAGAAGATGACGGTCATCACGCAGTTCCTCGGCTCCGGCTCCAGCCTCTCCGAGATCAAGCGTTTCTACGTGCAGAACGGCAAGGTGTTCAAGAACTCGCAGTCGGCCATTGCAGGCGTCACCGGCAACTCCATCACCGAGAGCTTCTGCACCGCGCAGAAGAAGGTCTTTGGCGACACCTCGTCGTTTGCTAACCTCGGCGGCCTCAACGAGATGGGTGCGTCGCTTGCTCGCGGCCACGTCCTCGTCATGTCGCTCTGGGACGACCACGCCGTCAACATGCTCTGGCTCGACTCTACCTACCCCACCGACGCTGACCCATCCAAGCTCGGTGCTGCCCGTGGTTCCTGCCCTACGACCTCTGGGAAGCCAGAGGATGTCGAGAAGAACTCGCCCGATGCTACCGTTGTCTTCTCCAACATCAAGTTTGGTCCTATTGGCTCTACTTTTGCTCAGCCCGCATAAGCGCTTTCTTCTCTCTTTTCGCTGAAGAGCCCGCCCTCGCGTTTGTGTGCATGGTAGACTCTATACTTTCTCTTCTTGATCTCAATTGGAGAGGTGTAGGTAGACCTTTTTTTCCTTTCTTTCTTTCTTTCTTCTTGTTCGATACTTTCGCTTCGACAATCTCGGAAATTGTATATACTTTTGTTGAGTGGTGCAAAGTTAAGGGGAAGGGAACTAGTTACTAGAAATGTGTGCATACAAAGTAGACAAATGGAAATTTGCATTCATTTTTTTAAAAAAAAAAGTCTCCCTCCCCACCCTCTTTTTGCTAGTTGAATTAGAAATATGAATCGTGAACTTGAAAAGTGTTGATTTCGTGTGTGAAGATCTACCATCTATTGTTGGGCGTTTTAACCGTTTTCGTGCCCAGTCTAACTTTATAAACGCCCGGCCAATTATGACATGTTACTCGCTAGGAACGCTTCGATGAAAGAAGGGGGGGGGGGGGAAGAGAAATCTAAAAGAAGAAGAAGAAAAAAATAGAAACGCCTATGCAGATCAACAACGGGTGCGAGCGTGCAGAGAAAAAAAGAACAAGAGAAAGAAGAAAAGAAAAGAAAAAAAAGGAAGAATACCCCGCCATTTAGACCAACGTCGTCCCACGTTGAGCAGTCATTCTAGCCATATCCTCAGCCGCACTCGTCACTGCATCCCTCCTCTCCTCATCATACCTGCGTGCGGCCTCTGCATTCTCCTCGGCCGTCCTCCAGTACCTAGGCCTCGCACTCGACCGTCGAACGACACCCACATCGTCATCATCCTCTTCCTCGACCGTATTCTTCCTCATAAAAGAGCGATAAATCCGTGCTCCGGATGAACTCTTCTGCGCAACCTTGCCACCGCTACCACTGCCACTACTACCCGCCTCGTCATTCGCCTCCTCGCTCTCAAACGCCCGCCGAATAGCACCAGGCTGCAACGACGCCATCCTCAGCAAGCACGTTGCAGCCGCGGCGCCATTGTTCTTCCAGCCCTCGGCAGTACACACGCCATGGGCGCGCCAGTTAGTTTCAAAGGGCGTCCGCGCGGTGCCTAGATCGCGCCACGTCTGGACAACGAGGCGCATCTGACCGCCTGTGGCGTGGGGGAACTCCTGGGCGCTAACCGCCCAGTCGGTAGCGCACATGCTGCAGTTTTGCGTGAATTGATACTTCCAGTCACGGCGCACGACATTGTCGATGGCGGCCATGAGGCCTGTGTGTCCGTTTTCGCTGTCGTGGTGGCCCGAGAGGATGTGCGGGAGGAGCGGCCAGAGGGTGCTGAGGAGATTGCGGTTGCGCTTTGCAAACGAAGGCAGGATAATGGCAAAGGAGGAGTGGAGCAGGAAACGACCTCTGGATATTTTTGCCGAGATTTGGAGTTTGGTGGGGACGGGGGTTCTGGAAATCTTGGCCATACCTCGCTGCTCGTGTGTAAAGGCTGAGAGTGGGATGCCGTGTTCGGGTCCGAGGAGGGAGGCGTTGATAGCAAGTCGGACGTGGTGGTAGCGGAGAGTGTAGTCACTGCCAGAGTAAAGGTAGCTGTTGAAGTCGGCGCAGTCTCGTCGTCTTCCTCGGGCTGGAGTCTTTGGTCCGTCGTTTGCGCTCCATGAGTGGAATTTATCACACCAGCCGCAGAACCAATGGCCGGGAAATGCTCGTTCAACAACGGCCTCGATGATTCGTCGCTTCTCGAATCGGTTCTTGCTCCCTTCGACGTGAGCCGATAGTACGTTGGTGCCGAGAGCGTAATAGATAAAGCGACTGGAGAGGCAAAAGGATGCTGCAGAGGCAGTGTCGAGATAAGTGCTGACTTGCTGGATTAGTTCGACCGGAAGGGTGAGAATAGGTGCCTTTTGCGGTAGTTTGGTGATGGTAGCCAGAGAATCTGATATTTCATTGTCAAAAGCAGAATCTATGCTCGTCCTCGAGCTAGCGGTATCGGATGCCGAGTCGTCGGTTGGTGGGCGCGAACGCGAGGAGCCAAAGCTAAGTGATCGACGAAAGAAGCCCATTCTAGAAAAGTGCAATCCTTCTCTTGCCAAATTCGCTCTTTTTTCTTCTTCTTCTTCTTCTTCTTCTTTCTTTTTGATTGTTTACGGTAGTGTCCAGAAGGCGAAGAAGAAAGAAAAAACAATGTTGATATCAATGTCGGAATATAACCAGCGTAGAAAAAAGTTTTAGAGGCGGCCACAGAGTTTAGTCAGGAGTCGATGTTGAGTCAACGTAAGTCAAAGAAAAAAACGTAAGATTGGCAGGAGAAAAGCCCGCAGTTAAGCAAGCCGTTTCCAAGAGCTACTGAAGTGCAGCCAGGCGGCCCCCTTATCAGTGCGGCTCGAGACCTCAAACAGGCCATGTATGACAGGTCATCCAGACCGTCGGTGGACGGATGTGTGACAGTGGCACATGCTTGCCCAACGGTTCGCCGGGGCTGTGGGTGTCAGGGTCCAAAGTGCAGGCCAGCGGTGAGGGTGAGACAGGCGGCCATTCACCTGATGCGCGTCGACTAGCCAGGCGGGGCTTAGACGGCCTTCGACAGCATCCTGAGTGGTCGACAAAGAACTGCCTCGGCCACGCAACGCCACGAGACTCGGCCGCGATTGCCCTGAACTACCTGCGTTTGCCCGTCTGCTAAATCGCGTCAGGATACTGTGGCGTCGAGGCAAAAAGATGCGGAAACGAGACGACGGCTTCTGTCCAGGGCGTCATGAGCTCAGCACCAGAGCCGACTTTGCCGGCACGCACTGCTACGTGCAGGTATAGGTAGCAAACCCCGACAAGTCGCTGCCATGTGCATTGCCACGTCCCATGTACGCCAAAAAACATTAATAGGTAATAGGTATAGTACAAATACGCTTTGATCCCCCAAGGCGCTTCCCCGGAGCCAGGTCATTACCACTTCGCTTCCTTCGTCAATCATCTCCTTTGCCACACCCACTAGGCCGTCGTGTCTGCCTCGTCACAGAAGTCTACTTGGGCAACTCGGGGTTCAACATCTTTAGCTGCGGCACTGGCGGGCCCGTCCCGGACCTACGTCTCCTCTCTCGCTCGTTGAAGCCCGCAGGCTGATCGAGTTGGGTGGGCTTCCTGAACCTGCCACCAACCCCACGCATCCAGTCCTCGCCCTCATCGGCACCGAGCCAGTACTTGGGTGCACCGCTAAGCATAGCCCGACCAACCTGGCCTTTCCAGCCTTGACCCTCTTCCTTGTCTTCTGCAAACGGGTTCTCGGCAAGGTCATTCGCAGACGTTTGCATGTCGTTGGAGTTGTACCACGCACCAGACGAAGCCTTGGCGGCCATGTGTTGACGGAGGCACTGGCGCGCAAAAGCCAGCATGATGAAGACAAAGTAGACGCGCAGAGCCCAGAAACCAGAGATGAGAGAGATGCTCATGATGCTGCCGCTCTGGAAGACGGCGTTGCCAAGACCTGCACCGCCCTCGCTGCCTTGTCCGACTGCGATGGCGTGTTGACCGGCTTGCATGCCCTTGTTTGGCTCGGCAATAATGTCGACTTCTGACACATTGTGCTTGGGGCTGGTGAAGCCCGCGTTGTCCTTCATTCCAGGCGATAGTCCGGCATTTTCGTCCGGGTGCGCGGCAAGCGCGTAGAACCAAGCAATGCCGAAGAAGGCTGTGTAGAGCGCGTTGATGACCGAGTCGAGCGCGTACAGATGCGCAAGCAAGACAGACTCAAAGGGACTCTGTAACCGGATGTGCTTGTAGAGATATGTTGTCGCGAGCAGCGCAAACGTCGAGTACAGGTACATGGACAGTTGCCAGCCATCGATTTTGGCCCCGGTGAGGAGCGCCAGGAGGCCGTAGACGCCCGATGCTTTGTTGATGACTTGGAGGAAGGTAATGATTTCAGCTCCGGTGCGCAGCGACATTTTCTGAAGAAATGTCTACGGGCATACGTTAGCCTCTGGTCCATGATCATGATGTAGCGTCCTGCCCAGATTTCTCGCGCAGGCTGTGTTTCTCCACCTACCTTGGGCCTCGGAATCTCGAGGATATGAGCAGGCACCATCATCATGGCGGTTGGGTGCAGAGCGGGCCTCTGCGTTTGTGTCAAAGGTGGGAAGGCTATGTATGCTGTGTTAAGACTGCGTCACGGTGTGCACATGGGCGTGGCGTTGAATGTTGTGGGAAGAGGGTCGTCGGTCACTGTCCCTGTGCGGAAGCGCCGGGAGATTTGCTAATCTTGTTGGTAGGGCTGATCTAAGCTAACCCCTTGCGCCAACCGCTCGACCCTTTTCTGTCCATGTATGGCCTTGTTCAAACACCATTTCCATTTCACGTGCATGCATCTACTACCTGTAATTGTCTACGTACGTATGCGTAATGCAGATTGGCATCGACTTCGGTCCGAAGTACGGGTATGCTACTCGTATTGCGAATAGTCTGCCCCGAGCCGTAACCTAATTGTGACGTACATCATGATCCCATGCACCCAAACTCTGGGCCCGGCTACCCCTCTAATTGCTTACTTACTCTTACTGCCCAATATAGCGTTCCCGCGACATATTAGGCGGACGCCATGATTGAACATTTTCCCAGTACATATTTACTCCTCCCTCAACCATCCACTGAGATTTGCCAATAAGAGTGTTTGGCAGCTTCGGCATAATGTGTTCGCCAGATGATACACCAACGCATGCTACTGTAACGAACCAGCCAATTTGGATATCTGACTATGTGCTGGTTAGTGGTTCATATGCATTGCAGTAAGATACCACTACCAACTTTGCTTGGTGCCATGGTCAATTCAGGGTGCAGCTTTCAATAGCGGGCAAATGGTACTGAGAATTACCAAGTGCTGGCCTTACTGCCTGGAGAGTGCATCTTATACCACGACTTCAGATTGTAGCTTGACAAGGCACGCATTCCGCCTGAATATATGCCAAGACTTGATAGGCTATGATATTGTAACCTGAGTGGGAGAGGAGTTTCGTGGCTGACGACCGGTCAAGCAACAAGGCTACCTGGGTGGGTGACAAGGCTGTTTAAGTAGGCAACGAGGCTGCCGGAAGCTAACGACAAGGTATGTGAGGAAGGTTCGAAGGCACAATAGAAGAAGGATTCTCAAATTTCTATCATCTTGAACGCACAAGTGGCGAAGAAAGTTTCGTTTTGTAGTGATACAGGTTCAATACCATGATGCGTCTTGATAACGCCAGAAAATGACCAAAGCCTTACTACTCCCATCCAGTATATGCACAAGAAGGCTCGAGGGATATATCGTCAGATAATATACAAGTGTCATCGTACAGCGTCACCGTCCAAGTTTCGGATTGTGTGGCTTCGTTTCGCTTCATCAAATGTAGCTTCTAGCCCTTCAATAATTCGCCGGCCTTGCCCGAGAACCTGCCAGCATCTCTCTCCTGCTCTACCGTGAGCGAAGCAACCTTACTGGCTGGTCCATCGTTTGAATATTTGTTCGCGTCGCCAATCGTCGAACGTGTTGAAGCAGCAAGTGTGGGGTTATCCAGAATCTCATTTGCCTCGTTGGTCAATTCGTCAGATGCGTGGCCTTCATCGCCTTCGACTTGGATGGCCTCATCCTCAGCGTCCAATTCCATCTGTTTTCTCGCCTGGTCTCTTGATTTCTTTTGCTTCAATCTAACTTGTTCAGTAAATGAGAACTCGGAAAGCGTATTCTCAATCTGATCTTCCACTAGCTTCTTGGTGTAGTTTGCAAGAGTCCTGGTGGTGAAGACATTGGGGAAGCGGTAGCTTAGCCACAGGTAACACACAATCATCTTGTGCAACTGCTCGAGCTTGTATAAGTACTCCCGATCACCAGAAGACGGCTGATCCATGACATCAAGCGGTAGAGAATCAATATCTAGCAGATTCCCCGATTTGCCATCGGCTATGCACTCAGCGAGTCTACGCAAGAAGTTTCGCTCTGGGGCAGAGCGCATGTTGATCGGGGCAGCACAGATGGTAATGCGTTCTTGAACGCTAAGGTTCTTGACTGTGTGGATGGCGTCTGCAATTGCTAGCTGATCTTTGAGAGTGCAGAGGTAAAAGCGAGGGTGTATGTTTGAGATATCGTGTAGGCGTAACATGATGTAACTGAAAGGCGTGCCCGGCGGAAAGTAGTTTGCGAATCGCTCAACAACCTGGGAAGGAGGAAAGAGGCCAGCCGCTTTGATTTCTTCAGGCTCCTTCGTCATACCTGATTTCAAGTATTTGTGATCTTCGTTCTCAAGCGTTGTGACCCATCCAACTGTTTTCGACTCGGGTGCCTTTGTTTCATCTGCTTTAGACTGTTTGTCGTCTAAGCCTATGACGGGATCGACGACACCGTCGGCAACCGAAACTTGTCTCGAGTCTGCGTTGACTGCTTGGTGAGCCGTCTTGTAGCGGCCTGCGCGACCAGCAATCTGTTTGAGATCTGAGATTTGTAGACTGTGATAATTTACTCCATCGGTCTTCATGGTGGATTCAAAGATGACACGCTTGATGGCACTACAAAAGTCAGTCTATGCCGAATAAAACTAGGGCCGGACGCTACTCACAGATTGAGACCCATGCCAATGGCATCGCTAGCTACCAGATAGTCGTACTCGTTATCTGGGTCATTGAACAGCCGGGCTTGTTGAGCTCTTGTCTCTGGTGGCAGGCTTCCGTAGACAATAGCGCATTTCTTTCCCGTCTTCCTTTCAATCTCTCGCCGTAAAGCGTGTATACCCAAAACTGTGAAGGCGACAATGCAATCACCCTTTTGAAGCTTGTTGAGATTGCCCCCCAAGCTCTTTGGCTCGACCTTGAGGGGGGTCAGACGGTTGTATTCATGGACATGGATTTTGTCGCCAACAAGAGCGCAAAGCTCACGCATCAATGGCACTGTGCGGGCTTCTCCACAGAGATGAATCTCTCTAGCCTGCAGACCAAGGAAAGCCTGGGTCCAAGCCCAACCTCGCTCCGGATGGCTGATCATCTGTATTTCGTCTATGACGGCGACATCAAAGTGCGTGTTGAGGGGAGCCATCTCAACGGTGCAACTGTACATGTAGGCGTGCTCGCCCTGCGGCATGCGCTGTTCCTCGCCAGTAACCAGAGCACATGCCTTTCCTTTTGCATCCAGGCGGGTGTAGACTTCGTGGGCAAGGAGACGCAACGGGCCGAGGTAGATGCCGGACTTTACTTCTTCAAGGCGCTTGAGGGCATGGTAGGTCTTGCCCGAATTGGTGGGGCCAACATGCATGTGTACGGTGCGTGGGATCTCTCGGGTGGCTGGGTACCATTCGGCGGGATATCGCAAGTCGGCTACTTCCTTTTGGTTTTCCAACTCAGCTACCGTGAAGCTTCCGCCAAATAACTGTGAGTAGAAGCGGTATCGCAGCCATGTCTGAAGCGTATCCTTGCCCCGCCTGGCCTGGCCCACCAACGACTGCAGTTCGGGTGCCCTCCGGTTGATCTGGACGTCGATGGACTTTTTAAAGGCGCGCCATTCGAGGTCGAAGTCGTCTTTGCTAATGTGAAGGCTCTCGAGGTACTCTGGCGTTGCTAAATCCCTCTCGACTTTGAGCAACTTTTCCTGGATAATGCGGAAGCCAGGCCTGGTGCCATCTGAGCGAAAGGGATTGCCGATTCGGAGAGGGGCATTTTCGCCAGAACTTTTTGGTCGTTTGGAAGGATTGCTTCGGTGCGCGACTTGAATTAGCGGGAGGAGGCGTGGTGGTTGGAGACGTGAGCGGGCGGCGAATGCGCAGAAGAGACACAGCGAATTCCGCCGCACTGGCGGGGGAAGCATGCCCGAGAGAGGTGTGGGTGGCTGATAAAGAGTGAAGAAAAAGAAAAAGAAGGATTAAAAGAGGAGGAGGTAGAGTACAGCATGCACGGGGGCAAATACGGGCAGCATGCCAGTCTGCCAGTCGACAATGTCATGTCTAGTCGTAGTGCATACTGTACTAAGAAAAAGTTGGGCCAAGCCCCAATTCAGAGACCTCCGGCGGGCAAGGGCACCGCGGCCGCAGCTGCAACACCAACGGCCAAGCTGCGACGCGCTCCCCACATCCCAGACCCCAACCTTCACCCTCGCCCTCCGACTCTGCACTGCGCATTGCTGGCATCCAGCTCACTCCGCCTACGCGCCCCGCATATACTCACCACAGAGTCACCTATCCTCTTGTCAAGTCTTCCCGTCCTCGTCCTCTCACCGCGGCGGCAGGAAGCCTGCCATACCCCGCCAGTATGGCCTCCATGATAGACATCCAGAAAGAACGTACGAAGACACCGCCAGGCACCGCGCACTAGCAAGACGACGACGACTGATAGATGCGCTTCTAGTCATACTCAACGCCATCCGACAAACCACCCGCGGCGACGTGCGACAGGCCTCCCCCCGTGCAGCCCAAGCACAGCTAACGGTGCCCAGTGGAAGATACTCATTGTCGACGAGTACAGCCAGAAGCTCATCAACAACGTGGTCAAGGAAGATGACATCCTCAACCTCAACATCACCAGTACGCCTTCTGCACTGCGCTCCCTAGCAATGCCTCCTGACCCCCTGCAGACATCGAGCGCATCGAAGACCGGCGGCAGCACATACGAGACATGGACGCTGTATACATCCTCACCCCCAAGCCCCACATTGTCGACTGTATGATGGCCGAGTTCGACCAGCGGCGGTACAGGGGTTTCTTTTTGATCTGGACGACACGTAAGGGCACCGTGGTTTCGAGACACGGGCTTCAGGCTGATGCGCTTAGTACTCCCTCCACACCTCAAGGAACGCATAGACCGCTCGCCAATGGCGCGCGAACAGATTCGAAGCTTTCGGACAGTCCACCTTGACTTCCACCCCCAGGAGTCCAACCTCGTCACCTTCAAAGACCCCTGGAGCTTCCCCATCCTCTACCACCCAGAATGCAACAACCTCGTGGTTCGGCACATGGAGGACATTGCCGAAAGAGTAAGCAAGCTCGGTCTGATGTCCGACTTTGACTGACGCTTCCCAGATCACAGGAGTATGTGTTGCGCTCGGCGAATATCCCCTCATACGATATTACCGACCTCGAAGCCCAACGCACGAGGCCAGCGTCCTATGCTCACACCTTGCGCGTTTCGTGCAAGACAAGCTCGACATGTACGCCCAGTACAACCAAGATTTCCCTCCCCAATCCAACCGGCCCCGCGGTACCCTTTTCATCACCGACCGGTCCATGGACCTCATGGCTCCCTTCGTTCACGAGTTTACATATCAGGCAATGGCCATGGATCTGTTGCCTATACAAGACAACGACAAGGTGACCTACAGGACCAATGTCAACGAGGAGGATCCCGATTCAGAGGCAAAAGATATGGAGATCTCTGACAAGGACAAGATATGGGTTGAGAACCGTCACCGACACATGAAGGACACCCTCGACAAACTCATCAGCGACTTCCAAAAGTTCATCGCCGACAATCCCCACTTCACAAACCAGGACGCCCAAAATGCCGCAGGTATGAATGGGCTCAACGCCATCAAGGACATGATTGCTGGGTTGCCACAATTCCAAGAAATGAAGGAAGCGTATTCATTGCACCTTACCATGGCGCAGAAATGCATGGAAATCTTCCAGAAGCACAAGCTACCAGACTTGGCCTCGGTGGAGCAGGTAAGCTATTCAAGCTTCAATACTGCAACTGTTACTGATTTGTTATTAGTGTCTGGCCACTGGGCTTGACGAAGATTACCGGAAGCCCAAGAACATGACTGATCAAATCGTCCGGACTCTGGACGAAGATGAAGTAACACCAGCTGATAGACTGCGCCTCATCGCCCTCTATGTCCTCTTTAAGAACGGGATACTGCCAGCCGACCTGCAGAAGCTTATTTTTCACGCACAGCTACCGCCACCTGACGGCGAAGTCATCCGCAATCTTGACCTACTCGGAGCGCGAGTAGCGAGGCAGCTCAAGGAGAAGAGGGATGCGCCTCAACCTCTTTTCCCACCCAAGCCAGCGCCACCGCCAAATCAAGAAGACTATGGATTGTCAAGATTCAACCCGGCATTACAAGACATGCTGGAAGAACACATTCGCGGAACGCTTCCTCAAGACATCTTTCCCTTTACAAAGATATCGCCTGAAGATGCAGCTAGCATGGCAACAGAGAACAATGTCGCGCCTACTTCTCTTCGCGCTGCCAAACCAACCTGGGCCAAGTCACGACTAGCCAGTGCAGAACCACGACAACGTGTCATTGTGTTCATGGCTGGTGGTGCAACATACTCGGAATCTCGCGCGTGCTACGATGTTTCTAGTAAGACGACGCGCGATGTCTTCCTTGTCACCTCACACATGATGAAGCCTCAACTCTTCTTACGCCAAGTTGGTGACCTTAGCCAGAACCGCCGCAACCTGCGCCTGCCTATCGACCAACCCCAACCAAAAGCACCGGACCATCTTTTTGAGAAACCGGAGCCGCCAAAGCCAGCACCACCTCCCGCTGGTGCTAAGCCGCCTATGCCTGGAGGCTTGCCGTCTGGACCAAGGGTTGGCGGCCCGAAGCCTCCAACAGCAGCCATGGGCGCCATGAATCTCAACGCTGCCAAACATAGTCCGACGCCGTCACAGAGCAGCACGAAGCCCGGTAAAGAAGAAAAGGATGGAAAGGAGAAGAAAAAGAAGAAGCTGCACTTGTTTTCCTCCAAGCATTGATCTAGAGGCTGAGTCACTGCGTGTTTTGGGCTGATGATGTAGTCATTGTTGGTCTTGTTTTGTTTCGTTCATAGCGAGGATTGAGGGTCTCGTCATCTTTCGCATGGCAAGGTGTTGGATGGCGCACGCAAAATTTATTCCAAGGTGCTGATAGGCTAGACTTGGCACCCGGTGTCTGTCTGATCAATCATATAGAGCAGGTTTTTTTTCCTCTAGGGTACTTGTAATAAAGGAAAAGATTTTGGTTCCATTCAGCCTTCATATCAGGATACTCTTGTTGCACCTCCTCCTCGAAGGTGTCTCGTTTTCTTTGATGACTTCCTAATCTTCCATCTGCTTTCCATAGCCTCTCTCCTAATAGGCCCACCTTGTAGAGTAATCTTTCGGACTGACAACCAAGCCCTTGCCTTTGCTCGCCCCGCGATAGACCATCTCGAGTATGTCAATCAGCTCCTGTTTGTCGCTAATAGGGAAGTTGATCTTGTTGTTATTCCCCGTTCCAAAGTCGACTTGGATATGCTTGTTGCGCCAGAAGAACATGACGGTGCACGGGTCGTAGATTTCGTACATGACGTTGAAGTCGGGGACTAGCTGTATCATACGCAGAGGAGTCAGTTGGTGTGTACTTGCACAAAGAAGCCCTGTTCCTCAAGCGACAGTGGAAAAGGAAGGAGTGGGTTTGTCGGGAAAGAACGAGATAGTGAAAGAAAAAAAGGGGGGAAAGCGTACCTTATTGTCCACGAGGTAAATGACCACCCAGTCCTTGACTTTCTCCACAATCTTATAGAGTTTCTCGTCCATGTCCATGCACGCGGGGTCTGCGTCGTTGCCGAAGCGGAGACACACTATGCGGCGTTCTTCACCGATGATGGCTTGGTCGACGTGCCATGCTGAGGGGAGGTGCTGCAGCATAGGGGAGCCCATGGTGCGCGATGTATTAGGTAGAATAGAGATTGTGACTTTTGTTGTTTGGAAAGTGTTTGTCAAGTGTGATGTATGTGACGGGGTGGGGTGTTTGTTTTATATCAAGGAGTCGAGCTGAGAAGTGAAAGAGAAGATGGAGCGTTTACATGCACAATCACAAGTGAAGGAAAGAGCAGTCATGTGATTATACGTTGGGTATCGTGTTTGTCTATTACCTCTCTTCCCTCGTTTGCTTTGCTCCGCCCACACCCAAATGATATGAACTCTGCACACCAGCTCTAGCTAATTAATTCACATTAGATCCTCGTAAAGTACAACAGTAAGAACGAATGTACCTCGATGCAAGGTTACCTAGTCCCTCATTGCCTGATAATAATATTCCTCCACCCTCCTCTCCGGCGCATAATAACTCGACAACCCACCTGCAGGGTCCCTTCTCCCATCCCTCTTCTCAATCATCTCCCGTACAAACTCCTCATAACTGCCATATGGCTGTCCCCTCTCTTGCGGCCTCTGTGCAGCCCACGCCAGATACGCTGCTTTCTGTTCTGCAGGCGTCTGGTGAGTACCGTGAACTGCTAACTGCTGTTGATGGGGTGTTTGGACTGCGACATGTGTGCGTCGACGACCCGTGACTCTGTCGAGACCTGCTGCTTCACGTGCTTCTGCTAACAAATCGTTTTGTGGGACAATATTTCGCGGTTGATTTGTTGTGTCGTTTGGTGAAGTGATATTGGACCGAGTGTGATGTGCCTTTTCGTACGGATTAGACTTTCCGCGTAGCTTGTTAAGGAATGAAACGGCGGTCGATGTGACTGAGACGCCAGTCATGTTGGAGTTCAAGTAGAGAGATGGGCTGATGATCTTTAGGTGAGGTTGCTGGTAGACCGGCAAAGAACAAGGAGGTTCTTAACGCCCGCGCCATAGGGCGCCTTGCTGAACAGATGTCTCCGTTGTAGCCTAATATCAATAGGAGGCCTTCTGAGCCGCAGAACGCTAACTCTATAGAGGGCCAACATGAGTCAAATAGGCAAGGCGCCAAAAAATATTGTTCAAATGGGTAATTTTATTTTCAACTAGAGGTGCATATATTGCGGGTTACCTGCTACCTCAAGGCCGAAACCGGTGCAGAATATCCATACATAGTGCCTTCTAGAGTGAAGCGAAGAGAACAACAGGAACCAAAAAGGTATTAAAAAAAAGCCGGCTATGAAGAGAATTACAACCAAAAACATACAACATGAAACAATCACCACATTCTTCCCTTACCCTTCCTACCAGCTGCAGGACTAAGCGGAGGAAAGGCGTCTTCGGCATCCCTCCTACTTTGCTCCTCGGCAAGACTAAGCTGCATCGCAAACTCTAGATCTGACATTTCATTCTCGATGCTTGATCCAGCCATTGCCCTCTGGGGAGTGTCGTTTCGAGAGCGTGCAGGCGAATTCTTCTTGCCTTTAGCATACCTAATCGGAATGTCATAGGCAGACGGAGGTGCCGACGTAGATGTGAATATGTCGGGACCCTGGTCGTCGTTAAGAGAAAGGCGTATGGCTTCGGCAATATCCGCATCGAGCTCTTCATCATTTTCAAGGACGGATGTTGAGGCCTGACCCCGGACACTAGACTCTGGAGTCACAGTCTCACTGCTCAATGCACTCATCTCACGCTCAATACGGCGCTGTTCCTCAGCTTCCATTGCTTCCTGAGAAAGCATCGCGGCATACGCCAGTGCCTCTTCTTCACTCAGCATTTCCGTACCAAAGCGCCCCGCCAAATGTTCGGCTTGCTTATGGCGTTCTAATCTGTCACGTTCCAATTCAAACTGCTCATTGGCGATGTAGTTTTTCAGATTAGCCCGGCCGGCACCAGGGAAGCGCTCTCCAGTATTGTTACCTCCGCGCTCTGCACGCCGAAGCTTGCGCTTGCTGCTTCTGTACTGATCAGCCGCAGAGGAGCTGTAACTCCAAAAGCGGAGCTGGTTGCCAAGCGACACAGCACCACGCAGAACTGTTGGATCGGGATCTAGGTATATAGCGCCAGCAGCAAACATGTTGATCCCGACACCTTGAACAGAAGCTTGGGCCTGTACGAGCTGTCTTCGAGCACGCGAGGCGTGGCGTGAGTGCAATGTTGTAATCGGTGACATGGTTGAAGCGAGAGGATCCCAGGCCTGCACCAGACCATCGTTTCCACCCACGACAAGATACAGAGAGGTCACTGCCAAGCACGAAATCTCAGGCGAGTCGGTGTAGATGATACGGATAGGCTCAATGGTGTTTTCAAACTCCGCAGAACGCGACACAGGTAACCGAATATCCCAAAGTAGCACGACACCAGATTTTGTACCAGCAGCTGCATATCGTGCGCGTTGACCTGGTATATCGGACGGGGATGAAGGTTGGCTTGCGACTGATAATGGCGAGGCGTACGGCGAGGACGCAGTTGATGTGGTCGAGAACCCGAGTGCAGGGTCTTCGGATAGAGTGAGAGTGGCAAATGTACAGGCATCTAGAGTAGTCGTGGTGATTTGCATATTCTTGAAACCACCGAATCCAAGTTTCGAACACCGCCACTCTTCCACCAGACTTGCTCGTTCGGGGGAACTAGTCGTGGATTTGTACGAGAGGCTGCGAACACGCGGCGAGACACTTGCCAGACCCGAGACCTCTGGGCCTACGCCGCCAAACAAAGATGTCTGAGTAGGCAATGCTGTCGGTATCTGGATTGGCGTATTTGAACTCTGGTCCTTCTCGTCTGCTTTGCATCGAGTAAAGCGTGTGATGTTGGCGGTGTCACCTTCTTCCAAGCCGCATTCAAACACAACTATAGCCTCGCCAGCATTGTTGCCATCATCGCCGGCAAAGTCGACTTCGAGTCTTCTAAGCATATCCCATCCGAGACATACTTTACGGAAATGTTTCGGCGGCTTTTCCAGGTACTGCTGAATTTCCTTGGTCTCTGCAGCAATCTGCCTTTTACTCAGGCACATGCCATCCCAAGATGTACGCGGTGAGTAACTCCCATCTATTTCAGCATCGCTGTATGGATCGGGTCTCGCACTGCGCCTGCTGGGTTCAACAATATTCCAATACACGCTCCGGCCAGTCAGCCATGCTAAGTACTCGGAATGTTGTTCGACATCGCCCTTTAGAATCTGACTACGAGTTGGGAACTTGGTAAGATAGAATAGCTCGCCAAGGGCGTTCAGAGCGACTGCCCAAATTCTGTTCTGGGCGTAGCGTTTAGATGAATATTGCTCATCCACAGCAATAGCAATGATGGGTACACCGGGACTGAGAACCCAGCGTGCAGTCAACTCGCCGCGCTGAACACGAGACGACCGGAGGCCATCTGTGCCAATGCTACAAGCACTGACAACGCCAGCTGCAGAGCCAATCATCATACCAATCAAGCCCTCGGAAAGCGTTGGAATGGTGTTTGATTTCGCAATCCAGACACTGCATGCGGCGCCTACGTTGGTACCCAGTTTGGGTATACCAGCTTCTGGCATGCTAAGATCGGTAGCCTCAGCGATGAAGCGACCCCTCATTTCTTCAAGTGAACGGTAGTAGCAGGAGCCTTCTGGACAGCCCTGACCGTAAATCATGCCATAGGGTTGTGATATGTCCATTACGTTAGGACGCCCAACGACCTCTCCAGAACCTAATCCCCATTCGGCAACGCCTGGGAAACGTTCTGCGAACTGAGCGTAAAAGTGAGGATCACTTTGGCCCCAAGGATCTACTTTGCCAGCCATTGGATCGCTGCTAGTTACCATACCAACATCGTCTGCGCCATGAATGAATCGAGGCATTTTGTTATTTAGACCGGATCCAAATGTTGCGTGTAGGTGATTGATAATGGTATATGTCTTAGCATCATAGGTGATCATTGGAGCGACTGTCTGCATTTGGCCGGCGCGAGACGGTGTTGTAGGTATTTGAACGGGTTTGCCTCGGACTAGGGATCGTAGAAGTCTTGTTCGCAAAATATACTCGCTTCTCCACGACGCCAATGCAGTAAGCCTAGTGAACCTCCTCTTCTCAGACCGTACAGCATCGCCACTGTCTTCCAAAGCTGAATGATATTGCGCGTCCTCGAGCGCGTGTGGACCTGGGAAAGAGCGACCAAAAGCCACCTGCCATGCGTGCGGAGTAGTGACGACATCGTGAAAGCGGCGAGAAACAAGGGAGACTGCGGCAAGGTCGTTGGGTGAGAGATGCGCAATAGCATGGATGAGTACCTCTGTACAAAGTCAGTGTCTGGCCTCGATATATCATTGTGCTGCAGATTATTTGCAGAACAGTCTTCACCCACCATTCGGCAGCTTCGCGATAGGGCTGCTCTTATCGTCTGGGTTTCTGTTGCTTTTAACAACTTCAAAAAGAGGGCCATCAGCAGACTTTCGCGGCGAGTTGGCTAGCGCGTTTTCATATTCGGTAATCCTATCCCTCGGGGGTGGTGAGGGTCGCGCACCGCCCTTCAGTCCATTGGCTTCCACAGGGGTGAAGCCGTTGGTGACTTGAGGCAAATCCGTCGCATCGCGTGCAGGTCTACCGAGTGGGACTCCAGGATCTCCCCACGGCCCACCAAAGTGTGGCTGCAGAGAGTCCTGCAAGTCATCGTTGCGACGGTGTCCATGCTGGGAAGTGGTTGCGGCGTCAAAAGTGGCGTGTTGCTGGGAGGCGCGTTGCGATACGTTTGTAGGCTCTGGCTGCATAAAACTTTGAGTTGTTTTCTTGGATGTGTGCGATTGACCGAGCTTGTTGGAAATGCTCAGTCAGAGTTGATTTTTTGCGGGCGCAGGTAATTGAGCGTTGGACGGGTGTGGTTGTTAGGAGGAGTGTGTTCAGAGCGGAAGTTTTGATGACTCGTTTGCCAAGACAAAAGTTGTGACGGAAAGAGATGACGATCGCCACTCGCAGATAGAGAACTCGAACGTGGGGTAGGCTGAGGTAACACTGGCTGTTCAAGGCCGCCACCCCACTGCCTATCCATCGGATCGAGCTGACTCCGATATGTCCCGATGCTCAATAGGTAATCGTTCTTTCTGCCCATCGTGAGCCATTTCTTGGACTTTGTTGAAAAGTGCTCCATGCAGAATATTCATTCAAATACGTATATACAAGACATATAGTAACGCTTAACTAGGAAACAATGAAAGAGATGTCACGACAGGTTCATGGCACATAAAGCCGTGAGTATGCCGCTACATTCGTCCTACAGCAGACGCATGTTGTGTAGTTCTTTGACGCCAGTCCCACCCTACATTCATCGCACAAGCTCAGACATCCACAGGGCCATACCAGTACTGTTCTCGGTGCCATTTGGCATACTACACACTGAGGTCCTTCAGAGCCCATGCCTTCTGCCCCTGTATCCCAGCTGCCAGCGTTGCTTCTGCCCGGTGGTGCTGTGGCGCTTCGGCGGTTGAGGATGAAGTCTTCAAGGAGCTGCTCCTCTTCCTCTGGTGACATTGCTATGTCGCCACCCACCTGGTAACGTGATGTTGTCAAAACCTTGGCTTCATCCCGCTCCAGAGCCTTACGATATTGCGAGCGCGTCATGATGTTGGGACTCTGAAGATGCCTTGATAGTAACTTGGCCTCTTCGCGATCTTCTTTTGTTTTCGGATCGAGGAGCTGCGAAAGGCGTGAGAAATCTATGGCATCATCGACCGAGGGTGTCTCTTCTCGACTGCGTCGATATGTGTCGCGGGTCGGTGTTCTCTGTCCATCATCAATATCAGACCATTCGTCATTGTCAGTCGTAGTGGTGAACGAAATCACACTAGTAGTATCATCGTCCTGTGCGACAACATAGTCTCTGCTGTTGTCGACTTCGTTCCAAAGACTGCCATTGCGCCACCAAGAGTAAAGGTAGTCGTTGAGACGTTCCTCCGATTCTTCTGTATCCGGCTCAGAGTAGAAGCCGCTCTGTCGAAGTCTCTCTTTTGCAAACGATTCGACATCAAACGTCGGGTCCTGGCGAATCCGATTACGATTGTCCAAGGTAAGCCACGACTGGCTGGCTGATGTCCGATCTAAACGCGATGCTAGCGAGTATATCTTCTCGGCTTCATAAGCGCCAGCAGCACGCCTCAGCCACATCGGCCGGTAATTTATGCCAACCTTCCTCAGAAACCAGCCTGTGACTTTGGCGACACCAAGGACGACTAGCCTCGATATGCGGACGAAGAATCTATAAGTCTGAACGTAGCGACCGCGCTGGTGACGGGCTGGGTCATCATGTCCCATGGAACCAGAAGGGTCGGTAGATGTTTTGGCGGTCCTAGTCTTCCGTTCCTTTGCATAGCCTGAAGTTGATGCGTCTGATCTTCCGTCGTTGAGCTGATCGACTACCTCAACGCCTTGCGCAAATGTATCATTTCTGAGCTCTGCCGGAATGTCGACGAGCATTTCTCGACGTCTTCTCCGACGAGCAAGGATTTCTTGCAGCCGCTGCTTCTCTAACCAGGTCATGGCGTGCACGTTGACCTTGGTGCCTTCGTTCAGAAAGACTGCCTCACTCGCGGCAGTCAGAATTACATAGCCCACTTTGAGAATGGTAGTATAAAAGTCCTCATGCCAGTTAATTGTCAAGGGCGAGACTGACGATAGATGGATATTGGCGTGGAGGTTGCTGTAGGCAGCTGCAAATCTCTCGCGCAGTGTGAAAGATTCAGCTGGTCTTGCCGGAAGGGAAAATGCAGTAATGAGGAGAGCTAGTAAGTAGATAATGCCACATGCAATCATACCAAGTATAATCAATAGGTGGGGGATGAAGCCGATGATGCACACAGTGGGAAACCTTAGTATACCCACATAATTGTCTGGGTCAGCGACCATCCATGTGAGGCGAGCAAAGCTCCAAGCGAAAGCCGAAATGTATGCCAGTCCCCAGATTGTGGTAGTAATCAGTCGGTACTTTGAACGGACACCTGCAATTGCCAGCAAATTACTTGTGAAATGGCTGACACTTGATATAAGAGATATAAGCAAAACTTCCGGGGGAACATTAGCAATTTTCGAGAGCTGCGTTCTCTGCAGCATGAGTGACGTGCCATTCGGTGCGAATACAGGCTTTGGCTTGAAGAAGCGTGTTGAATCGACTGCAAACGGCCTAGTGACAACAGCTTCGGCTTCGGCGAATGCCAGCGAGTGTTCAAAAAGAGTCATTCCAACTTCTTGAATAGGGCGTCTGCCCTGAAGAGCGCAGGCCAAAGTGTCGATAAATTGGCCAAATCCCAAAGACAGAAAAATGGGCCAAAGAAGAGCCAGCGACCCAGAATCTCTTGTTGCCGACGAATCTTGTGGAAGCATGTTCACAGCGTGGCAAGACTCTTCTGTGGTTTCCCAGAATAAGATTGTCGATGCAAGACGCCAGAGAAAACCACCCTCGCCGCCGAAATCGGTATCCAAGTGTCTGCCATTTGCTCCATATTGCATTTCTGACCAGTCCGGGGAGGTTTGGCATCGTATCGCTCGGAGCACATTCGAAATTTGGTATAGGAACAACAACAGGGGCATAACGTAGAGAGTGAAACGCAGGTAGAGGCGATCGAAAGATAGAGGTATACGGCTGTTTCCGTAGAAGTGAGTACGGTTCAAGAGAATTGCCTGTATATATGCGATCAGCAAAGGATCACTATTCCCCCTAGGCTCGTGTGCAACTTACAATAGCAAACGTAGCAATTGCCCACTTTGAGGTTATGTAGCTGAACCATGTCGCTACATTTCTCAAAGCCTGCCACACCGTCATATCACTTTCTGAGGATGCCGCCACTGCTGCAGCGGCTGTAGAATGAGACTCTTGTATAAAAGCAACTGTGGAAGTTATTGTATTGTTGGTTAGGTTCGCCGTTGGCTCTGCTATCACGCTACCCCCTGCGCGCATCATATCACCCAAAGAACTAACTTTGGAGAGAAGACGAGGAAAGGCCATGAGCAGATCTGCTGACGATGGTAGAAACGAAGTCGCGTTGGTAGACGCGCCGGGCGACACCATTACGGACGGTTTACGGATACCCGGGGATATCTGAAGCTTGAGGAAGTACAGAGATCTAGCGACTATTGGAATTGGTACATGGCGATTAAAAACGCGCAAATACGAGGCCGAGACGCCCTGATGAGATATCGACAAGAAGTGCTTTGATGGATCAGCTCTGGTCTGGGCTGCGAGTTGGCCGTCCTGACGCGGCAGGTCGTGGGGATGACGCTAACATGCAGCCCGGGCGACCTGGTCAAACCTCCGCCCCTTCCCCCATCCCCGCAACCCATGTACTATCCGGGAAAAACGGCCGGACCAAATCCGACAACACATCGGCTTTTGCCTATTGCGGTAGAAACACGAATGAGTATCCCCAAACACATGGCAATGTGTAGGTAAACAGTTGTTACTTGGCTCTAAGCATTGGGCACAAAGAACACATGGCAAACCCCAATAGTATGTGTGGCAGCATGTTGGCGTGCCTGCAGTGTGGTGAGGTGTCTGGCCAACTTTCTTATAGCATGTAACTGTGTAATTGCAAGAGACAAATTGCACGCCTACACCCTTAAGGGGCCGAGATCATACAAAATTGATTTATGCCTCGCTCTTATGGTCCGCTGTGTAGCATGCGTAAGGAGGTGTAAAGTAGGTGTTTGCTATTCGTGTGATGGTTTGGCATATCGATAACATCATGTAAGCCCTCCTAGATAGAGCCGCTCACTAAACAGTCAGATTTTCACGGATCTAATAGAGGTAATTTTGGTAGCAGAGTACATGCGACCATAGCTTCTATAAGGGGAATTAGGTACAAGTCTAGCGCAGTTACAGCTGCAGTTCCTGCTACTTCTAAAGGCTATATGGTAGTAGATATAGTGTGTACATATCCAGATACAGACCTAAAAATTAAGTATTTTTAGTTAAGATTAATCTTTTCTTATAGACATAGACGACTTAACTAAATAGCATCGCATAGCTATCAAGGCAAGGTTAGATAAGAAGCGGTTATTGCAAGAGGCACTAGCTCTAATTTATGATGACGCAAACGATGCTCATGAGGATGAGAATGAGGGACGGGGCAGCAAAAAGGCGAAGCGTGCCTCCTGAACTTGACTGTAATGAAAGAGCATCTCCTTTTGCCATGTTGTATTACTCAGTACATTCTAAAGAGACCAATTCCATTCATTTCTTTATAGGGGAAGAAGATACCACTACACCATTGCTCAACATCTTCCTATGATGCCTTCCCACGGTCTCAAATTGAGTGGGGGGCCTGCATTACTATTGTGCGCATCGAGCGGGTAATTCCCAATAACCCACTCCTTAACCTTGAGATCTCCGAGTCCCGACCATTCCAAATCTTTTCCAGTAAAGTTTGTGGCAGTCACCCAGCTCTCTTCTTTTGAAAAGCGTCGAAAGGCTACCACATCCTTATCATCTGGATCTATAATTTCGAAACCACCATAAATGAAAACATCTTTGTGCTCCTTGCGGAATGCCAAGCAACGCTTCCAGTAGGAGAACACAGAGTCAGGATCATCCAACTGTGCCACAGCATTGACAGTGGGATAATCGTCGTTGACTCGCATCCATGGCTTGACGTTGGCCTTGCAGAAACCAGCATTTGGAGAAGCATCCCATTGCATTGGGGTACGCGTATGATCACGAGCCTTGAGCTGAATCATCTTTTTCGCATACTCTAGCTTGCGGTGGTTGTTGGCGTATTGCTTGCTGGCACTAATTGATGCAAGTCAGCTGATGTTCAGAGACAATTTTTGTAGTAATGAACCTACAACTTCCAGAAGCTCTGAGACTCAATATCCTTGTACTCCGTCATGGGCCATTCTTCAGGAATATTGCGCATACCCAACTCCTCGCCCTGGTAAATGTACTCTGTGCCTCCCAGTGTCGTATGCTTGGTGCAAAGCATTTTGGCTGCATACTCACGCCACTCGTCGCTGTCATCCGCAAACCGTGAAAGTGATCTTGGCGTATCGTGATTCTCGCAGAAGATCGAGTTCCATCCGTCCCTTTCAATCATCAATCGTTGGATGTGCTCGTGAATTCGCTTCATATCAGTTGCATCCCATTCTCTGAAGGACCATTTGGATTCGCCAGGCGCATTGTCCACATTCAACAGCTCAAAGAGAAATATCATGTCCAACGGCCCCTGTAATCCAACTGTGCGGATAATTTCGTCCTCGTCATTCACAAAGGGCATCTCACCGACCGTGATTGTATCATATTCATCGAGCACGTCTCTCATTCCTTGCAAAAATTCATACAGCCGCGGCCCATTGGCGTAGAAATTATGGCCAGGCTGGTAATCCTGACCTGGGATCGTCTCCTCAGCATCCGGAAAGCTCTGCACTTTGGAGATGTGGTCTATGACATCCATGCGAAACCCACAGACACCACGATCCAGCCAGAATCGGAGAATGTCATGCACTGCGGCTCGCACATCTGGATGTTCCCAGTTGAGGTCTGGTTGCTCCTTCGAAAATATGGATAGATAGTATTCTTGTGTCGTCTCATCCCACTCCCAGGCCGATTGCGTCGAGTCCAGAGTTCGGCACCAATTGTTGGGAGGAACAAGCTTGCCATCTTCATTCACCTTACCCTTCTTCCAAATGTACCAGTCCCGCTTGGGATTTTCCTTGGAAGAGCGTGACTCGAGAAACCAAGAGTGCTGAAGAATCGTCAGAATCTGCGTCATCAGGTGGCCTGGAAAATTACCTGATTTGAAGTGTGGTTCACCACGAGGTCCATCATCAGCTTCATGTCCCGTTGACGAAGCTTTTCAATCAGCTCATCAACATCTTCCAAACTGCCGTATTTCGGATCTATGTATTTATAGTCGGATATGTCGTATCCCATGTCGAACTGAGGGCTTTTGTAGACTGTAGTTCAGTGAGTTAAAAGTATTCTCCAAGCTGCTAGCGAACTCACTTGGAGATACCCAGATCACATCAACTGTGACAGTCTTCCCCTTAGCAGATTGTTCCTGTACAATGGTAGAGATACTCGCCTCCAAGCTTTTTCATGTAGTCTAGCATCTCTATGATGCCGCGAATGTCGCCATGACCGTCATCGTTCGTGTCCCGGAATGAAGCTGGGTAGATCTGTATCGTGTCAGATGATAGATGCATTGTCATAACGATCGATAGTTTGAAGATATACTTGATATACGACGCACTCCTTCCACCAAACGGGCTTAGTTTTAACCACGTCATGTTGTGGCATTTTGCTGAAAAGACTTTTGCTGCTGCAGATCTGGCGGCTTTGGCGGCTCCAGTTCACGTTTTTCAATTGAAGTGAAGAAGAAGCACGAAGACGATGGAAATTCAGGGAATGGAAAGCCCGGGGAAAAAGTCTCATCAGGTGCTGAGAAGCCAGTGAGACGAATTGAGATGTGGTTGTACTTCGTGAGGACAGCCTATATGTACCCACGTTCACAACATCCTTTGGGGATATTGTTATAATTTCGACAAGATGAACTAGGAGTGACGAAAATATATGTGAGATTTGATGAAATATTGATTCAAGGCGGAACAAATCATGACGCAGAGCTGATGGAAACCTCAAAAAGGAATTTCGTATCGAGGTATGTTCATGGTATCTACAGCATATCCCAGGGTTTCCGGCCTCGGAAGTTTATACAACTCATTGTTCCATTCTCTAATAATGACGCTAAGCTGATGCGAAAATTAGAAAGTAGGTTCTCATCAAGGTATGTTGGTGAGCACGCAGCCCTCCGAGGTTTCCTGAGCTCCGGGAAGTTTTGTACGACATATTCGTGCATCCCTACATCCCCTGATTTTGCCAGATGACTTCATGCTATGCTAATAGCATTAAATCTGTGTCAGGTGTTGCGATGTTGATGTTTGGGATGCAACAAAGGCAGATGGTAGGCCGGAAGCGGTCTTGTTGCATACATGAAGACTAGCATTGATCGGTAAACTATCCATCAGTAAACTATCCATCGGTAAACTATCTATCGGTTCTGTAACCATTTGAATCAATCGCCAAATGAGCTAACCAATTCTCTAAGGCCATCTCATCCATATCCTTCAGCCACTGTACAGTTTTCTCCCGCACTGCAATCGAAAGATTCTCGTACTCGGATCGGTTGTTCATGAGCCTATTGACTGTTTTTACCCATGGGCGAATGTCTTGTGGAGGAACAATATATGCTCCTTCCTCATCGCGGTCACCGTTGATGGGATTCACTGGAACAATGTGATCCAGTCCGAGCATGGCTTCAGGAAGCGCACCTGAACTGGATGAAATAACTGGAATGCCTCGTAGGTGAGCTTCGACTAGCACTATCCCCCAGGCTTCGAGCCAAAGAGATGGAACAAGGAGCAATTTGATATCTTGCCAAGCTTCTTCCATATTGGTACAAGCTGGCCGGATTCTGTATGGTATTCACAAGGCCCACATTAGTCCACAATTCCAGCTTCACGTCATGCCACGAGGTCAGACTCACGTAATGTTCGGCAGTTCTTCCATGCGCTTGCCAATTACATCATCAAAACCCCAGCTCTTGTACACCAGGAAGTCATGCTGCGGGCATGCCTTGGCGATGTCTATGAAAATCGGCGACCCCTTGACGACGCATGGATTAATCATGCAAACGAACTTCTTGTCCCAGTTGTGTAGATGAGCCGGTATTCTGTGGCTTGTCTCTTCAAGGTACGTCCAGGGATGATGCACAAAAAAGCTAGTCCGTAGTCGTCCATGTTCAAGGGCGTACTTCTTGATAGCATCCGAGACGCTCCAGATGCCATCGAGATTTTGGAGAAGTTTGGACTCGCCCGGTGAGCTTGCATGGCCAGGCAGACCACCAGCAAATGGTCCGAAAGGCAGCTGCTCGGCAGTATGCACAATGCCAACACGGCACACACTCAAACTCGGCATCTGTAGGGCGGAGGTTGCCTGCATGGACAATCCATCGTTGCTGATGATGTGTGTAGGCATGAACATTGTGATCTCTTGCTGCAGAAAGGAGACAAAGTCCTGTAGCCGTGCAGACGTCGTCCCGGTCTAGGTGAGATGAAAGTTAGAAATGCCAACTTTACAAATTGCTAGAATCATTGGAGAGGAGAGGACTGATCAATACCTCAATTAAGTCGGCCGTTTCCCTCGTCATTGCTTTGTGAATATTCTTTTTACCGCCAAATGCTGCGTCGAATTCATCGCTATCCAACGCCACAATCTGAACGCCATCGTCCATGACAAACTCATGGACAGTGACATCAGTTCCTGCCGCGTTGTTCTCACCCCTCAAATGCAGCAACCGCTTATGCAAATTCATATCACGGCCACCACCCTTGGCAATGATCTGGGTATACATCTCTACTTCACCGTGATATGAATAGCAAAGCTGGCGGACTGAATGACCACGCGAGGCGAGATAACGCAATAAGCAAATATTTGCTTTGTAGCCGCCTGAGGAAGAAAACAGTCCTCTAGCAGTCTGAACGAGAAATACTCGCATAGGAAAGAGACTGGGACCGGAAGTGGAGGTATCGGAGACGGTGCTGGAAGAGAGAGCAGAGGACGAGGAAGAATGGACTGGTGATTGGTATAACATAGTTGCAAATGATAATAAATCTTGGCAGGATAGATTTATGTTTTGAAGAGAGGAAAGTACTGATATATTGTGCGAGGAAGTGAGATATTTATATCTCGAAAACAACGAGATACTGTGAAGAAGCAAGTGTATACTCCTAGAAGCGTAGAAGGGGGTTGAACACACTTAGGAGACTAGCGTCAAAAAACTGTCGGCATGCGGCAACGTTTGGTAAAAAAAATTCCAGGTTTTGAGACAAATTCCGCGGTTTAGACTTACTGGGATTCACTCCAGTTTTCAATCCGCACTATAACTCGTTACGAGATATACTGCCTACACATGTACGGTTAGTCACTGGAATGAATCATCGGTGCAACCTGATACCAACAATGAATATGAATTACTGGATACATGAGTATGATAGCTATACAAACAAGCTCTATAAGCTTCTCATGCAACTTGTACTATATCTATCAAAACATATGAAAAGCTCAACTCATCATCAAATGATGCAATAGCAGTACTTTGATTCAGTCGCCAGGACTAGCGTAGCGAATATTGCGAAGAGAGTCACTATGATATATTCTGACTTTCGATTCGGCTATACGCGCGATTGTCAAGCATTTCTTGAGACAATCGGCCCTAACAGGCTCTACAGGTACTGTTATAGAATTAATAGATGCAGGTCAAATACAACTGTTGTAAAACATGCAGTTCTTAGTTCTGTTTAATCAATGATCCCAAAGTAAATCAGCTGATCATATTACGAGGTCTTAACATTTATACAGATACATGTGTAAATAGAGTAATCAATATTCTAAGATACTAGAGGTACTTGAATCCTGAATTTCCATACCATCGCAGATAAGAGAGTGAATTCAACTTCAAAATCATTGTAAAGAACTATATTTTAATTTGAAGCTTGGGCGAATTACAAAACATGTCGTTGATGCTGAGTAAAGCATGTTCACAAGCTTCCACGGCCCCGTATCAGGATCTGATGACGTCAGATTTATATCATTTAAACGAAGTTCGGATGGAGGACTTCTCTTGTAGCTATGAAACCTAAATTACGGATCGAATCTTAGTCTATAAGGGTCATAATGAAATATATCTATTTGCGTAGGCTTAGGTTGTCTTCAAACTGGTAAATGATTCCAAGTCCGACCACGGTATACTTATGACCTACTTAGCGAAGTCACTGCAGATATGCCTAGACTGGGTCAAAGCCATTGATAATCTGTAGAAAAAGGTGTTTGGTTCTTGTTCTAGGTATCATCCTTGGCCAATGATGTTATATTTTCACTTGATGCTGTCTCCCGAAATTATTTCAACGGTCACGTTGGCAAATTGACGCTGAATAAGCGGGTGGCAACACACTAGAGATCAAAGCTGGCATTCAAGTCTGAGATAAGGACAGGGTTCTCGAGTGTACCACATACCGCTCTAGCAGGTACTGGCCCCACCTTCTCAATCTGCATATCTCCAACATCAATCAGAATTGTTGAACCACGTCACAAGACTCTAATCTCAAAGTGATAACCAAATAAAGGGCGAGATGCAACCTTTGAAGGTCACCAAGGGTTCTGACAAGTTGTTATAAGCATGCACAAGTAAATTTTTGTCAAGGAATGTTATCGCTGCCAATAAATTTTCTCTCCTGGGGATTCTTCTCCGTCAGCCATTACTCGCGCTCAGCATATGTATTCACCCAGTAACCCCTCTAAGTACATCAGAAGTACAAAACAGACTGCAGTTTGAACCCTCGCCTGAATCAAGCTGAGCGTGATGGTTCCTCGTTTCTGTGTACTTTGGCGAGTCTTTTTCTTGTTGTAAGGGACCCATAGATGGTGACTAGTGAAGTGATCAGGGGTACCACAAGGAACAGCGCAATGAGTGCAGCACACAGAACCATAGCGAATATCGCGAATCCGTATGCCGCTTGTTGAAGATCGGCATCTGGACGCTGAGAGTGTGCTGATAGCGACAAATTGAAAGCCGAAAGAACAATGACAATGACACCAAATGCCGAAACTGCGTTGTTGTACTGATCCATGTAAGGCACATAGCTTTCGGACAGCGCATGCGGAAAACCTCGAAAGATGCTGGAAAGAGAGAGCTTAGAAGGCGTGTATCGGTAGATAGTGTTGAGCCGATGTAGCCGCAACTCGCCATAGTGAAATCTCGTATCCATGGTATTCGAGTCCCTGTGATTGAGATTTGGTAGTATTGTTCGAGCAAATTCCGCCCATGATCGGTAGTCCAAGTTAGCGTTGACCAGATGACAATCTTGCGCAACCTGCAAATCATGACCAAAGCGAATAAGGCCACAATAAGAGTACAAAAGCCCGCATGCTGCTCGATACAACTCCGGCTCGCAGCAGATATAGGTCTCCCAGAACTTGTAATTCAGCAGAAAGTCCGGGAGTGGCTTGACAAAGATTCTTGACTTCGCCCAAACAAGATGAAGATCCAGTTCTTCTGCAATGACAATCTCGCGGCGAAGAAACTTCTGGTAGTACAAGGAACGTGGAGCTCCAGGAACTGCAATCAGCCACAGCATCTTGCGCATGGCCTTGAATCGGGAAAGATCGAAAAAAGCACAAAGAAACCTGTTCACCTCGTCTCTATGCTCGACTCTCAATGGTTGCAGCTCCCTCGCTATTGGAGATACATCGTTAAAAGCCGCAGGAAGTACTAGGTCCTCCCAAGGAATCAATGATGAAGGTTCTGAGAATGGGGGTTTGTATGTCGGCGATGCAGCCTGCTTCCCGGAATTTTCCATGAGGATGTTAGTAAGATATTTTTTGTATAGATAAAGTGGGATTGGGGTAAGATTGGTTTGTGGAAAACTCCCTCTCTCTCTCTCGCAACACAAAGCCCGCTGTGAACAATTTTAAGTATTCGAGAGATTTTGCACTCTCTTTTTCGTGGACGCGCTAATGTCGCAAAAATTGACCAAAGCATGACTCAATATTTCGTAACTAAGCATTTGACAAGATCATCTAAGCTTTTGTCGGGTTGATTGTCTTTAAGATGAGGAAATCCGAAACGAGACATTGAATAACTACGTCGTAATAGTATCGCAATTCATGAAGTTGAATGCTGGTACATTTTATTCGTTACACTTACTCCGCTGACTAGCCGTATCAGCATCTAGAAGCGTTTTCCAGCCAACGACTGCATTGCGGACTTTGCACGGGGTTCATGCAACAGTCTGATTTAAGTGCGTGACTGTGCGCCACAATCAACATGATGCTACAGTGAGAGCATCAGCGCGCATACAAGTCCGCTACATAGAAGCGAACGTCTCACAAAAGTCTGGGCAAATACAAGTGTGTTCTGCCATGAAATATGTTTGCTCTGTTTACAAAATACTCGCATGTGATATCAAGATGAAGTCAAACGTTAGGCGTACTTGATTCCGTTAACGATTAACTACTATAAGAAGCTCCCTTTGTGTGATTTTTTTCCAAGATACATGTATAGTTTTCGTTTATCAGGGGTATAGTCCCTGTGAATCATGATTATGCAAAAGTTGCGCATTATGTATATCAGCAAAGTAAAGTTCTTAACCAAGGCGAATGTAGTAAAGACATGACACGAATACGCACAGATGACGCTGCGCTTACAGAATTGCGAGTAGTATCGTGCAGCCCCAATACTGCAACATACACGGTTTTCAAAATGCTTTCGCTTCTCATGAGTTACACATCTGACGTGCTTTTTCAGGCTGCCTTCAATTTATGAACAGTTTCTCCAAATCAGCAGCGATTGCAATGAGAAGTAGCTAGCAGCAGCAGCCAAGTAAATCGTAGCCCATGAACGAAAGCCAACTCCGATCACCAGATATGAAGATTGCCAAGATTAAAGTCACGCAATTTTGTTTGTTCGTCAGAGGAACGCTGAGGATCAGCTTCAAAGCACTGAGAATTGAAAGTGTCCGCTGATAGTAAGCAATGGTTGTTTGAATAGATGAATGCTCACAACTGGCGACCAATCTACCGATGGTCCTACTGCCACATCTAGCCTTCCCTCCCTAGCAGGAACAACACTTTGAGACATTCCTTTACTCTTCTAGCATAACGAAATACCCATCTCAATACCTTTAAATCTCATTATAGTACTTCTTAAGACAGACTTGCGACGAAAAACTTGCTCTGCCCCGATTGTTCCTCTACAGCTTATGCAATACCCAGTACCCACCAAAATAATTTCCCAGAGCCACAAGATAATGCACAAAACCCAATTCAAAGTGTTTGAAACTTATGAGAAGAAGAAGGAGATTTATATACACCGCTGCCGTAGGCTGCCTTATACTTGCTCTACTGAAACTGCTGAATGAGCGGCCCATAGCTGCATGCCCAAATGTGTTTGCAAATCGCACGAGATATCGAGACCACTGATATGGCGGCATGTGGAGGGTCGAGTAGGAACATGGCTGGATTCTTCCATTTTTCAAAAGATGAACACTCTCTGAGGGCCGATTATTTATGGAGAATGCCTAGGCTGGAGACAAGGCCATGACCCTTTTGCCCAGGGTATCTCCCAACGCCATTGATGCCAAAGGTATGATGATATAAGTTTAAACTACGATCTACTGGCCTATGCAGTCTTTGGTTTCTTCGTGCCGTACTTTGAACGAGCAGTAATTCTGTTACCAACACCGCCCTAGTATATGTTAGCAACATAGTTTTTTTATTCACAAGCAACGAGTTCTTACCAGATCCAGTGCTCCTCGAACCAAGTGATATTTTACACCTGGACAATCTTGTGCTCGTCCGCCGCGCACCATAACTACGGAATGCTGCTGCACATTGTGTCCTGATATCCCATTAGCATTGCCCAGGGTCCTGCAAATCTACGGATATGCATTCTATACCTTCACCAGGGATATATGCTGTAATGACCTTGCCTGTGCTCAGCCTGACCCTCGCAATCTTCCTCTCTCCCGAGTTTGGTTTCTTAGGCTTGGTTGTTCCCACTTTGAGGCACACTCCCTTGAGCTCTGGTCGGTCTTTCAATTGCGGTGAACGGAGCTTTCGTGCTTTTTGTGCGATCCTCCCTTGTCGCAGTACTTGTATCAGTGTGCATTTGTGGGCGCGCGATGACGGCGGCGGGCGGATTGCGAACGCTGGAGCGGTGGCTTCGAAAGCGGGGGCGGCGAAAGCAGGCCGTATTGGTCGCGCAAGAGCGAACTGTGCATTCGAAAGAATTGACGGCCTGAAAAGGCCCCTCAGGAGTGTGCCGGCCATATTGGGTTGCGGTCGGCGTTGAATCACAATAGTGGACAAAAGTTCATGATGCGATACGGCAGCTGACTAAGCCGTACCTTGCGCATTTCGCTACAATAATATTCAGCTCTACTCGAGGCTGTAGACCTGGAAAGTTCATATCAAAAAGCATTTGGATTCCTTGAAATCTTATTTTTTGAAGAGCAAATAAAAGTAATTGAAGATTGCATATATGTCTGCGTGCAAATCCTTGCTCGTTGTACATATTCAACCGAGGAATGCTTGAGTTGCTAGAGCACCTCTGGAGGCTATTCGCCAAACATTTCTATTCTTGAACATTAAAACGGGACCATGTATACTTTCACAAAGGATGTATAGTCCATTGGGGTCACACCAAGAGGACCATGAGTAGATCTTAGCATGTACCTATCAAGCTTAGCGCCTCTTCGGCCGGAAATACTTTTCCACCAGCCTGCAGATTTTCTCCCATTTTCCAACCAGCACTCCCAGCAGCACCAATCCTCGCCAGGATTACTAGGCATAGCCACTTTTGGTGCATTGTGAACCGGCAACGGTATCACTCTTTCAGCATGCATGCAAACATGGCCCCAGTGCCTTGCAAGGCTGCAGCTGCTGGCAATGTTCCCACAGCTGCTTCCGGAGACCGCGACCTCGGCTGAACGCAATCTAAGAGTGCGGAGACCGCTTCCAACCGCTCTCTAGGGTGCATCTCGCATCTTGACGATACCCCACGACGTCTACCCCTCACGACTACACAATGCGAACAGTATCAGCACTTGCTTCGCCTGTGCGAAGAACGGTACCATTTACGGCACGCCAAAGTACACGGAGATGCTTCTCGAGCTCCCAGAACTGGCAGGCTACGTGGGGGTTTATTGGCCTCGGACGGATGGGTAAGTATCAATGTTGCTCACAAGACTGCATCTATTAATTTTTCATAGGATACCCTATGGCAAAAAACCTCAGAGCTAAGATACCAGCTGAGGACACGCTGTTTGTACATGATGTCAACACCGCAGCCACCAAGCAATTCCTCGATGAGCATCCCCAGGGTGTCAAGGTTGCCAAAAACGTTCGAGAAGTTGCCGAGAATGCTGTAAGTAGACACAACGTATTCCATTTCCTACACAATGTCTTATGATGAATTAATTGTTCTATCAATGATCTAAGTTGGGGGCCATTCGTGGCCCTTATTCTGATTACACAAAAATTATAGCCAATCCTCTGATGCTTTCATATTCAGCAAATGTTACTTGCCACCATCATCAGATGCAGTTGACTAATGCTGCTACAGGAAACAATAATCACGTCGTTGCCGGAGCCTAAGCATGTCAAGGCTGTTTTCAAAGAGATGCTAGAGCCTCCAACGCTTCTCACAGATGGGGTAGTCAAGAAGGAGCGCTTCTTCATTGATTGCTCGACTATTGACCCTATGACATCGGGTGAAGTAGCGCAAGCTGCTCACTCTACTGGCCAAGGCAAGTTTGTGGATGCACCCATGTCGGGTGGTGTTGTTGGTGCACAGGCAGGCACGCTCACTTTTATGATTGGTGCACCACCAGAGGCTGTTGAGGGTGCGACCAAGGTACTGTCATTGATGGGCCGAAGAGTGGTTCACCTCGGCGGGCCAGGAGCAGGCCTCAAAGGCAAGCTGGCAAACAACTACCTTCTTGCGCTCAACAATATTGCAACTGCGGAAGCCATGAGTATGGGCGTCAAATGGGGCCTTGACCCCAAGGCTCTAGCGGGCATGATCAACACGGCAACGGGCAAGTGCTGGCCAAGCGAAGTCAACAACCCTGTCCCTGGTGTCATTGAAGGCTCGCCTGCTAGTAGAGGGTACGAGGGGGGGTTTGGAATAGCTCTCGCCAACAAGGACCTGAAGCTTGCGCTCAAAGCAGCAGCCGAGGCCGACGTCAAGCTTGCCTTGGGTGAGCCAGCACGAGCCCTGTACGATGCTGTAGAGCAGGCGGAAAACTGCAAAGGGAAGGACTTTTCGGTTGTCTACCGGTACTTAGGTGGTAAAGAGTAGGCGAATAAAACAAAAGTAACTTTGTTCCATGACAAGGCTGTTGATGTAATGATGTTTGAACTTTGCAGGTAATGTCGCAGAATGATATTGATACCAGAGAAATAAGGATGGAATTTGTACGTTGGAAGGAACGGAAACCTATCCCGGACGCCCCCAGAGTTGCATCAAAAACCTAGTCGGTTGCTTATCGGCTTCAGCAGTGGAAAAGTTGCTGAAGCAGATCAAGACAGTAATACACGTATTGAGAAGGTAAGGGAAGGTGCCTCCAAAGCCCGCATTCCATGGCCATGCACATGCAGGGACTAGAATGGCAAACATCCAGTACAAGCAAGCCGTGTGGCTGGGTTCTCGCGCAGATACACCAAAAAAAACAGATACGGCGCAGCCAAACCCACACGCAATTCCTGGTACAAACCAAAAAGTTGACGACCTTGTGAAAACCAATGCCACCAAAAGACGACGGCTCTTATTACGGGAGAAAGCGAGAAGAACAGAATTAAAAGAAGAAGACGAAAAGAAAAAAAAGCCGCAAACGCCATTGTATCGTGTACATGGGGCGAAACCCGCCGCAGAATCGAGCGGTCAGGTTCAAAGGTCGAAATTTGGTAGTTGAACATGTACGGTTCGTCTCGTCGTCAGTCATGGCAGGAAATAGGAGCACACATGGTGCGGAAAGGAAATCATCTCGAGTAAGGCTTGTTCATAAGGGCGATCTCGCGCGCCACAGTGGCCCATTCTAATTCGCGGCGAAGAGGTTCGTTGCGTCGCTGACGCTGGTACTCTTCCCACTTGAGTAGTTCATAGGTGAACCGAAGGTGAGGTTGTATTATGACATTAAGTCTTCGGGCTCGCACAAAACAGCTGGAAGGTATTAGATAGGATCGTGACATGGAAACACAGGCACTACTCACTAAGCACGAGGAAAAGAAAGGCCAAGCTCTTTCATGACTTCGGCAATGCAGATGGTTGCCGAGCGTGAAACACCCACGCGGCAGTGCACGAGTGTAGCACCACCCTCAGCTCTTCCAGCTTCTAATTCTTGTTAGTGGTTCCCAACACAAGTATGGGCCCGGGATTCATACCAATGAATTTCAAACAACGCTCAAACTCGCCCCAGAGAGGATCAACGCCATTATCCTGAACTCGGTCGATCATGAGGAAGTTCTCAATGGGCCAATTGAGTTCTTTTTGCATGCCCTCAGGCCAGGAAAGCGTCTCGCCGACGCTCAATACACGAGTGATGCCCAAGGCATGGAGAAGTTCTGGGTTGTTGGCATGGCCAAGATTGCCGAGATACATGTAGGGAAGAATGCGGCTGGGCAGACTCCCATCAAGCTTCGAGAGCCAGCGCGGCTCTGGGATGTTGAGGATGCTCTGGTTGAAGCGGGGAGACTCCTGAAGAATGCGAGGTTGTATGGCTGTCAGAAGGGCTACATCAGATGGATATGCGAAGAAGTTTCGGCCCTTTTCACGATGCAGCTTGATCCAAGCGTCGTGCACAGGAAGGCCTTCGGCATACATGAAGTAGGTGAGTGCAAGAAGGGTTGTCTCGGTGTAGCCATCGGTACAATGGATCAAGAACTTGCGTGGTGTTGCAGTGTCGACCATTTCTATAGCTTCATCCTCATCCTCCCTCCTTCGCTTCGACCTCCGTACTTCGCTTGGGTTGGCCAATTCATACATCCATTTGCACATGGCCATGAGGCCGTCGATTTCTCCGTGTGCCCAAGTCGGGGGCATGATACTCCCTGATGATGGGAACTCCATGTGCAAGGCTGACTTGCGGTGGACTCTTTCCAGACCCATACGAAGGGCTCGCAATGAGCGTGGTTCGGGTACATGTGCAAGATCGGTTGCCTCAATAAGCATGTCGTAGGCTTCTGGTCCCAAGCACTCTGGGTGCAGTGTCTGGTCGGGTGTTGGGCCGAGAAATACATTGTTGCTGATTTCTGATGCCTTTGACATTTCGCTCATCTCGTATCGCTCCCAGTAAACTAATGGCACAAGTTAGGCACTGTATTTTGCCAGTTGCACTTTTTTTTACTTACAGAAATCCACAACTTCTCCCGTTATTTGTCCAGTAGAGCTGACGGCAATCAGTTTGGGGTGCTTTTCCTGCACGCAACTGAAAGTATCTGGAAATCATTAGTCACCTGTACATATAGCAGCATATGTACACGGCCCGACTTACCTGAAAGCATAAACGTATTGAACAGATATGGCGAAAGGCCATGCTGTGATTCATACTGCCTCTGAGCTCTGGAGATTTTCTGGGCTAGTGCTATTGTGTCTTGGGGCTTTGTCTTGTGATCGCCATAGACGACAATATCTGAGACCAATGCCAGCTTGCAAGTCTGAATGTGAAAGTTGCGCACGGAGAAGCCTTCCTTGGGATCGCATTCAAGGAATTGGGGGTTTTCTGAAGCGACAGAATCAAGTATCTCATCAGGGGCAATGGCACCCTTGAGCTTGGATGACGAGAGGTTTCCACCGGTCTTGACAATGGTGATGCTGCGAATGCACGTGGGGACTTTGCGGCCATTCCTGCGACGCGAGGAGAAGAAAGCAAGCTGTATCTGGTTGTCTGCATGGAGGCCGTGCATCCAGGGAAAGACTTGCTCAGGGTTCGGAAGCGGCTGTGTTGCCATGTGCTCTAGGGCCTGAGCCAAACGATCTGCGGTGATGGTGTAGAGGGGTGGATCATCGGAATACTTTGAGCAGTATGCATCAGGAGGAAAGGTGATTGAAGAAGTCTCGATGAGGCTGTCCTGGCGAGGAGGAGAGGCTGGTGGTGTGGCGGGCAGTGCGCCAGGCGGGCAGACTGGAATGTGCTTGTTAGGAATGGGAGCAGGCGTGCCGCGGGATGACGTGTTCAGAGACAGGTGCGGTGGAGGAGTCGAGGAAGGACGTGGCATGGAAGGGTAGCTGGCGACAGCAGCGGCCATGTTTGCGGTTTAGAGGCGAAGAGGGAGAGAGAGAGGGAGGAGAAGAAGAAGGAGAAGAAGCAGTCGGATGTGGATGAAAGTGCGCAACGTGCACAATGGGCGTGCGGAAGGTGAAGAGTTACTGAGCCAAGGCCGTAGGTGAAGGTAATCGGACAGGCAAGTAGCGGTAGGGCGATCGCTCTTTCCCAATCAAAACGGAGGACCAAGAAGCGGGGGGGCGAGAATGTGTATCACAATCACGATGGGGTGGAGTGACAGCAAATCTTCTGTCGTGCAATTGATAAGTATATGGTACTGGGCGCATCGACGTGTGTTGCTTTTTTGGGACCTACTGCGTTGAGGGTTTGGCCAGATTGCGCACGCGTTGGCTGCTGAGTTGATCAACAGCCGGGGGGTGGTGGACACGGGTCTACAGCGTGAGGGCGAGCATTATGGGAGATGGGAGGGGATGAGGGTATCAATGGGATTGGGGGCAGAAGTGAAGAAAAGAAAGGCAGGGGAGGAGCAGGAGGAGCAGGAAGAGGATGCAGCGTAGGAGTGATATGGGCGTGTCTAGTGGTTCCCCGCTATCTGACCTCCCCACCCCCCAGCACTTTGGAAAAGGCGCCGTTTTCCTTCAGCTAAACCTAGCGCTACGCTGCAAGCCACCCTGCAAGGCTTGCTTGGACGGAGCGGAGCGGATTGGCTCGCGCAGACGACAATACTCTATGGGCATATGTGTGTATATGTATGTAAGTAGCAGGTGGTTAGATGAATGTCAGAGGTGTGTCTAGGGTCCAGGGCGTGCCGACAAAAGCAAGGCTGATTATGCGTGTGCGTGTACGTGGACAGGCGTGGATGCGAAGGGGGGGGACAGCCTTACGAGGGGCGCAGGTGTCGTGGCGGTGATGGCAGATAGCAAAGTCACAGAGGGACATGGATATTGGATGGTACTAGGAGGATAGGCTCGCGGGGACCCAGTTGAACGAGGCCGAGGGTGGGTCTGGTGGGTGTGTGGGTGGGGAGAGAGAGAGAGAGATAGGATAGGCACATGGCTAGGACAAGGGAGGCAGGGAGGCAGGGAGGCAGGGAGGCAGAGCAGAGAGGAGTAGGAGGACGAGAGTTCTCGAGCATGGCCGGCCGGCAGCGTGGAATCGGGCTGACAGCCAGTGTGGCCAGTAGCAGGCGGGGCCTTGGGGCAGCGACCCACTTGAGTGCAGCTCAGCAATTGCCACTGCCATGGCCGCCGCTCGCCTCCAGGCCCGGCCAGAGTGAGACGTGCACTGCACTCACACTGCACTCACACACACACTTACACTGCATGCAACTGCATCTGCATCGGCCCTTGGGCGATCCATCACCAACCTGAAGCCAACCCACCAACCCCGCGTCTGGACGCCCATGCATGCCGCCAGACTACACCCACTCTACGCTACTCCGACTGTCTACTCTACTCCCACTGCTACACCCCACCAACGCCCGCCTGCTGCCCATGGCTACACGCCCTACACATGCCCTACTTGGCCTCGCATTCCATACTACCGTGTACGCTACACACCGACATGCACACGCACACCTGCCATCATGGCCCGCCCCAACCCCGCACCGCACCGCATCGCATTCGCAACCGCCCACTGCAGTGTTGCCGAGCCAGGACCGGCTTTCTTTGTTGGTGCCCCAGTCCCGAGTCCCGACGGCCGCCGTCCCCTGCACCATCCCTTGGACTCAGCCAATGCATGCTGACGTACGGCCTGACAGACTCGTTCAAACTGCGCTTGTCACAATCACAATAGACTTTTCTTATCGCACACCATCCACTCATCCATCCCAGGCAATCACGACACTAGCTACCCGTCTGTCCCGCTGCGCACACACACTCACATCCTCACACGCACGACTTTAACTTCATGTCTCATTGATTCATGTCGAGCCTCATTGACTCGCCCGCCCACATTAGCTTTGATGCCCAGTAACCTGCTCGCGTGCCCTTGTGACACCTTCCCAACATCATGCATACATAGTACTCTCGCACATGGGCCCGCCCCTCATACATCAATCTCTGCCTTGATGTTCAGCATCTCGTCCACAATCGATCGCTGCACACTAATCCGATTCCCCGCACTGCCCTCCTGCTCCTGAAGTAGCACAGCAAGCACCTCGACCGGCGGCTCAAGCCCAAGCCGTTGCGCTCGCTTCCACCGCTTCAATCGAGCAATTCCAGTACACGGCTACATGGCACCCAAGACATCAGCAATTCGGTCGGCGCGGAGCACTTTTGGCATCAGAACATGGCTGATTGGGGCAAACTTACGCCATAGTGTGCGCTCATGTCGAACTCCCGAAGCACTTTGTCATGGAGACTCAACTCTTCCTGGTGCACTCTGGCTGCTCGCCTTTGCTTTTCCTTTTCTGCCCAATACCTCTTGATGACTGCATCTGAAATGCGCCGCGCTTGCTCCTCCCCTGCCGTGCTCTCCGCTCGTTGCGCCTCGACCTCCTGTTTCGTTTGCTCGATTATGGCCACTTCAATCGTCGTGGGCTCCGCGGCCCATGTCTCCAAGAGTTCGGGCGTTGCCTCTTTCAACTTCTTCTCCACATTGCTCTTTTTCGCGGCTTGCGCCTTGACGCCCGACTTTGTGACCTTGTTCGTCGATCCATGGAAAGCGAGCGTTGACTGGTGCGATTTGGTCGCCGCACGCGGAGCTCTACCTTTGGGTGGCATGTTTGTCTATGTGCGATGAATATTGCGACTAGTATGCGATTCTTGGAGATATAGTAGTCGTGCGCGACAAAGAGGAAGCTGGAACAATGACGTGACGTGACCTCACTGGCCGACGGGCTTGGCAGTCAATCGAGCGGGCTTCTGGTTGGTTGCCGCAGTGATACGCGACTTCGCGCGAGCACGTGACCTTTAGAAAGAATCCACCCCACTATTGTTCCGAGAAGTGGACATGCTCTGTGCTTTTGCACTACAAACCGCTCTCCAATCATTCCGTAAGTCATCTTCCGCTTCTGATTGCAATCGTGATTTAGTTTTGGCACAATACTGTTCCTGGAGACATGTGCCTCTAAGCAAAGGAATTTTTTTGATCAAAAAAAAATAGAAAGCATTGCCGATGAATGGCCAGTTATGCAGGGTGCTAAAGAGCAAACACGGACCCTTGATATGTGCAGTCATCACGCGCCATGACATGTGTTGACCATTGAGAACTTTGACCAAATCAGATGTTGAATGTTACTAACTGAAGTATACATAGACTCAGCCCCCAACCGAAAGCATGACTTCCACAACACCCCCCGAAATAGCCGCCCACGTGGAATCTCTGATACCCAAGTTCAAGCTCACCCGACTCCTCAACTCCGACCAAGCCGGACGCCGCATCAGTCTCCTAGGAACCATCGACTCTCAGCCCGCGCTCCTCATCGCCGAGCGCGCCGCCTTCGACACCACCCCCGCCATCCTCGAAGGCTTCTCCACATCTCTACGCAACATCAAGAACCTCGGCGCAAACGACATCTACGCCTGGTTCCTCGCAAACTCCAACCCAAGCACCGACAAAGATGCCTCTTCTCCCCCTCCTCCCCCAGACTTCAAAATCAACCTCATTTACCCATGCACAGACAAACACGTCAAGAAATACACCCAGCAGCGCCTGCGCATCGTCACTGAAACACCGGAAATCTACACGTCCTACATCCGCCCCTACATGCGCGCCCAGCGCGAAAAGGGCGCGCTAAACTGGGTCTACAACATCATCGAGGGCCGCACCGAGCAGGAAGACGTCATGTACCGCGAATCCGGCTCCGACGGCTTTCTCCTACTCCCCGACCTAAACTGGGACCGCAAGACAATGGGTAGTTTGCACTTGCTAGGCATAGTAGAGCGACGGGATATTTGGAGCGTGAGGGATTTGACCAGGGACATGGTGGGGTGGGTGCGGCATATGAGGCAGAAGATGATCGAGGCGACCGTGGGCTTGTATCCCGACATTGAGAGGGACGAGTTGAAATTATATGTCCATTGTGAGTTCTTCCTCTCCTCCCTACTTTCTTTTCTACCGAACTCTTATGGGGCGAGGGACATGGAAGAGAAGAGGGAAAGAAAAAAAAGACTAATCGTCATACTAGATCAACCGACATACTATCATTTCCACATCCACATTGTCCATGTTTCATTGGAAGCCGGAAACACGCAAGCTACAGGCAAAGCTTTGGGCTTGGAAAATATCATCTCCCAGCTCGAAACTATGGCTTCTTCTTCTTCCTCTTCCTCTTCGGCATCACCCCCTGGTATGCAGGATGCTAGCCTGACGTACCATCTCGGTGAGCGGAGCGACTTGTGGGAGAAAGTGTACTTGCCCTTGAAAGAGGGGCGGGAGGTGAATGTGGATGACTTTTGAAACAAGACAAATCAAATGTGCATGAAGGAAAAAAAAAGAAATGGTCAACAATACACGTTATATGTATTACATTAGATGGTATCTAGATGGTATCTATATGCATAATATATCAAGAATTCGTATCACTGCCTTTATCATGCACATCCGGACTTATCACGTCCTCATGCCGCTGCTTCTCGGTATTCCAATCCGTCATTTCTTCTCCGTCATTATCGTCGTGCACAAAGTCATGCTCGCCATCTCCACACAGACTACTCTCGCACACCGAATGCGTCCGTGTGCTGCTCGTGTCCCCCTTCATGGCTTTTTCTCGCAGCACCCGGAATCTCTCTTCCCTCTCCCACTCGAGCCGCTCCCTCGCCCAGTTCTTCTCAACCCGCGAGTACCCATAGAACCCCGCGCTCGACCCTATACTCCGCCTGGGTCTATATAGCCCACTGTCGGATAATGAGCGTTGAGCCACCTCGCCCCGCGGAGCCCCACTAGCCCCAGCCGACCGCGATCGGCCACGCAATCGGCGAGTCCATCTATCGTTTCGTCCGTCCCAAACGAAAAAACTGCCCAGTAGCGTGCCGTCGCTCGTCGCTATCCCTCTCCACGGCTTCTCTTGCAGCGAAAAGACCAGACAATTCACAAACCCCATGCTCACAATGCAAAATGAACTTGCTAACCGTATTCCCCATATCGGTTTCCGCACATAGTAGTCGTTGTACATCAAGCAGTGGTATACAAATGGTGCTACCCACATTAATGTATACACCATCGGATAGATGAACGTAAGCCGTAGTTGGCGGTGGATGCGTGCGCGCTGCCGAATCATGCGGTTAAATCCTGGAGACGGCGGCTCCAGCAGCGCAAGCTCGGGTGTGCTAGAAGCTGCCGGAAAGGCATGTAGCGTCGGGGTGCTAGCACTCAGTATGTCTGTATGCGATGACGACACGCATGGGTGTAAACTATCGTCATGTTCGACCCGTCCGACAGTCTGCCCACTTGGTATCGAGACTAGCGGTGGCCGGGCCGGGCCGCTGTGCTTGCCATGCGTACGGAAACGCCGTGTGCTTCGCACGAAGGATGGAGCGGTGGGGCTGGTGGAGGCGGTAAGGATAGATGTTGGTCCTGGTGCTCCACAAAGCTCGTTACACGTCAACGAAGCTGAATATCTACGCTCCGGTACAGTGACAGGCTTCTGAGATGTGGTCGAAGTACGTCGCGAGTGCAAGCCCGATTGTTTTTGCTGCGTCATAATGCTTGCGGGACGGGTTGCAAATTCTTCGCTAGGCACGTAACCATCACCAAAGAGCGATGCGTTTGTTCGAGACGCGCGAATATCAATGCTGGCTCGAGTGAGGTCATTGTTCAAAGTGTATCCCAGTTTCCGGCTCATTGCGTTGTAGTTCTTGAATTCCCATCCAACATAGGTATAAATCGCAATGGCCAGGCTGATGATGATCAATACAATAAAGTACCTCGGAATCCATGCCAAGGCTAGCCGGTACCAGAACGGGCGGGTTGGGAGCAAGCAGTATGCGCCCTGCAAGCGATACGCTCCTTGTGTATTGAGGAAAGCTAGGCTTGCTGATACGGTCGGGGCGCAAAAGACACCTGCGTAAACATAGTACTTGTACGGATGTAGACCTTCCGAAGGCGCTTGACCGGAGGGCCGAAAGACCTGGAGTGCTGTATGTATGGCTATCATGAGAACAGCAAAATCTAAGAGCGCATGTGAGGAAATGGTCAATACTTGGGCTATGCCGTCTTACCACTTATCTCCGTCCCAAACGCTATGAAGAACCCGCTCGACTGGCAATATGCCGACGTACTCTCCACAGGTCCCCGAGCCAGCATTACAATTGCTCCAACAACGAAACAAAATGCTCGTATCAGATCACCGCAAATCAAGAGCATAAGAAGCCTACACCAGAGTCATGAGCGCATGCATCACTTGGGCACAATAGCACTGACCGGTGGCGAAATTGTTTTTCCATGCGACAAACCCAGAAGAAGGCAACCAGGGAAGCTGTCATACTCAGAGAGGAGAATACCAGAGCCACTGTCGTGATGATTCGAGTTCGTCGTTCGTTGGCGGCGATAGATGCCGTGTATTGGGTGCCATAATGTTCGTTCAAAGGGACAGCAGATACGACAAAGGAAAGTGAAAGAAAAACGATGCAGCACAGTCGCACACAGGTCGACATGATGCTGGTGAGAAGGATGTCGGAGGCAGGGGCCGCGCTCCTCGTCCGCTGCATCGCGCGGGTATCTTGGGTTGAGATCGACTGAACGAAAAAGCAAAACAGATGATGATGATGATTAACTGGAAGTGGTACCGAGCATAGCGGCGCTAATATTAGGGTAAGATCGACCGCGCAGACAGCCAAGACATCAACGGTCCGTTACATGATTAGTAGACAAACTCCGTTAAAGCACGATGTGGCATATTTGCTTGGAAACCCGCTATGCTACTCCTGGCCTTCCCCATGTGATCATCTCGTTGAAAATATGACAAGGACAATGGCATATGGCAAGCCAGGATTCTGGGGTACCTGGTTCGACTCGAACAGTAATAAAACGTCACTCACCCCTTAATAAGGACTCGGTCCAGGCCACGCGGGAGGCTTTGCTTACGGCGGCTTGTACTTAGTCGCCCCGCTATCACGACTGGTGTCAACCGTCGCGGCCGCCATGGAAAAATGACGTGTAAGGCTGCCCCGGCCTTGGGGCAGACTTGCGAGCTTCCATTGTTTCACGCCGTGCTAGAATGATTCGGCGAGCGTGATCAGACTGAAGCGCAGTTCACCTCCGCCAGCTTCGGCCTCACGCTTGAGGAAGCTACGCACACCCAAATCCAGGGCCTTGTCGCTAAGAAGGTCCTCCTCGGGAGCTAGTGCACCACGGTTGAGGGGACCTTTACGACGGCCGTCGAGCTCCCACAGATGGTTTTTGTCCGATTTGATGAAGCAGACATAATGCAGGTCCACATCGGAATCAGCCTGTGGTGCAGCAGTGTCTCCGCCCGATGCCGCACTTTGATGCGCACTCTCGAGAGCCTCGGAGTCATAGAGGAGGTCAGCTCGCTGGGCGGGTTTCAGTGGTATCGCATTTTGGACAAGCTTAGCTAGGTTGGAATCGGCTTCTAAAGACTATGTTAGCAAACCTTGAATCCTTCCCGCGTAACGAGGGGGCTGCTGACGAATGTGTGTGCGTGCCGAGCCATTCGAGACTGCATGGAGCAGACCAATCAGGCCACAGGCGTTGCCGATAGTTTGCTTGTACCAAATCACTTCTTCGTCCGGACCATGGCCCTGATATTCTGGCCTATCTTTGTCTTCCTGGATGCGAAATTTTTCGTACGTCTGGCTCACAGGAAACACGAGGAGAAGGGCATGGGCAGGCCGCGGTACAAAGGCAAGGAGTTCGGGGTCGTCGATACTGAAGACGTCATGGAAGGCAAGCTTATCCGACAGGCCGAGCTTGTGAACGAGGGCTGTCATGACCTCCGGGTTGTTCTCTGTCGCATGTTACTAGGCATGTGCCGTGGCAAGCCGGAATGACTTACCAAGAGGAATGAATCTCTTTCGGCCCTTGGGCACGTCGGGGGAAGCTTCAGAAGCCATGTTGGTGCTGAGTTGAGGATGGTGTTGCGGGGAAGGAGGAGTGAGTAGAGGATTCCAGACGTGGGGTCGATGAGGGACAAGCAGCAAACAGCGTCTACGGTTGCGTCACCTACTGCCTATGTATACAGCAGGCGTGTGCTTGGAGTCAGGAATGAGGTGCAGGCTACAACAAGCCTTTTTGCCACGGCCCATGCCATGCCATGTCCACCGCAGTGCTAGAGGGCGGGGTCATTCCGGATGTAGTCGCCAGGGCGCAAAAGAAGAAGAGGAGTAGCAAGAACAAAAGGCACCGGCATATGACGACATTCCCGCAAGCAGCGACGGCCTACTCGAGTGATTTTTACCACTCTGCGGTGACAGGAAAAAGAAAAGAAAAGAACAGGATTGAGATGGCCATGTCGCAGTGCGGCGGCGGTGGCCATCCAAGGGCCCGGGCGAACGAGATGGAGCTTCAGCGCCCCGCGGTGACGAAGGACTATGAATTCGACTCACGTGAACGATGCCTCTTCGCGCCTCAGCTTCAATTGCGCCCTTTCTTCGCAATCTTCACGCCAGACCAATTCAGCAAACACAAGCACGACTCAGCCAGCGCCTCTTCTTGTCAGCACGCCTGGCAATTCCCCGCTTCTTGCCTGCAACAGCCCCCTCTACTAGCTTTGCGGCCGACTTCTTTACCCCACTACAGCCACTTGCTCTCAACTTGAACTTTTTCCACACAACAATTCCTCAGCTACGCACCATGGCCACCCTCGACGAGACTGTCGTCGTCTTCCTCAAGAAGCACGCGCCCAACAATGCCGCCGATGAGACCGACGCCGTCAAGGCTTCTCAGGCCCTCTTCCCCACCGTCACCTACACCGATGCCGAAAAGACTGAGCTCAGCCAGTGGCTCATCACTGCCTCTCACGTGGCCTCTCCCTCTGAAGACGCCGCAAAAGCCTCAGAGCGCCTGTCGTCGCTAAACACACACCTCTCCAGCCGGACCACCCTCCTTGGCGCAAAGCCTTCTGTCGCCGACATTGCCATCTACCAGAAGCTCGCACCCGTCGTCTCAAAGTGGAGTGCAGAAGAGAGGACAGGAGAGCAGGGATACCACCATGTTGTCCGCCACATCGACTTTGTTCAGAATTCTCCAGTCTTTGGCCTCAAGCTAGACGACAAGGTCAATATCGACCCGGACAATGTCGTCTTCAAGATCAAGCCGGTAGATGCCAAGGCTGAGAAGGAGCGCAAGAAGAAGGAAAAGGAGGCGGCGGCGGCAGGTGCAGCAGCTTCGGGCGCCACGGCTACCACCTTGACTGGAGCCCAGGGTCAGAACGCACAGGGAGGCCAAGGAGGCAAGAGCAAGGCAGACAAGGCAAAGGCAAAGGCAGACGCAGCTGGATC